AAGGGGGTTTTTACCCAAGCCCATATGAGGATATGTAAGGAGGATATAAGGATATATAGGGACATACAGGCATATACAGGGATATATAGAGATGTATAGAGTTGAGGCCCTAAGAGTCCAAGTACCCAATAATCAGGTACTTGGGATTTTGGTACTAGGACTTGTACAAGTTCTGGGCTAGTTTTTGATTATTAAGTACTTGGACCCTTACGGAAACTATGCAGGGTTCCAAAGCTTGTTTGCACGTATGCGCTGGCTCCTATTACTATATTACGGTATTCCTATGTTCCTGTAATCATCTCTGTTCTTACTGCACTTGTTCTGAGAGCAAGCATAGAATTTGGAGGCACGCTTCGGAAAGGGTAACCCATGGTCGCAAATATGCAGAAGAAGCGAGCATCAGCTATGTATGGTGTAACATCAATGCTTCGAATGACACATTTGCACAACAGCGCCTTCTGCACCATTCACGAGGACAAGTGGGATGACGGGAATGTACCTGACCCCACCCCCCAGCATGTAGCTCACATACAGGTTGCTGTAAGTCGTGGCAGAAGCACTCGCGTCTTCTCAGTAGGCAAGGAAGAAACGGCGAACAGGATCAGCAGAGAAATCAGGAACGTTTGGTGCACCACTTGGGCTCAATTTTCTGCCCTTCTTCCACCTTCAAGTCGGCTTGAGTTAAGGCTTCGATGATTCAAGAGAAGGCAGAGGGAATATGTACAGGTGCGTATATACATATATGTTATATGTATACCTATATACAAATATATATATATATATAGACACACACCCATTATAACCCTAATATATAGCCTATTCTAGTAGTTTCCATTTAATTTTCCATTAGCCCTATACAACCTCAATATTACCCAAAGTATAAGGAGCTCTATAAGGCCGACACTAGGGATCCATTCCTCAAACCACTAAGAAAAAGGCAAGTGCCCAAAATCACGCTCCCTTGTGACAGGAGGCCTACGTTCCCTTAAGGGTCCAAGGACCCAAATAATAGCATTTTAGGGCCCAAATACCATGAATAATGTCGTATTTGGGCCCTATTATCTAGGTCCTCGGACCCCCCAGAGTTGCAGGCATGCACCTGGAAGTCAAGCAAGGCGTCATCGGAAGGATGAAAAATCGTTCGCGTGATCCTCCCGGTCTCTTGCGCGGCGTATTACCCATTGATGCTGAAATGGGGGTGGGGGATATGTAAGTACCAATGTAGTGGGAACATGTCCAAATTGTCTTGGGATCTTTGCTTCAACAATTCCTAAACGCATTGTAGCTCAGGAAAATCGTTGGCGCTCAACGTTTACATCACACTGGAGAGACTCAATTGCAAATAGCTGGTTCGCAGCTATATTTGGCAAGTATATTCTGAAAAACTACTGACCCCTAAACCCTAAAGCCTAAACGTGACACTAGTGCTATCCATCATGAATAACTGTAGGAGATCATCTGGCTATAGCTTGGAGTTGCGGCTGCCTAGATTTTGTGTAAGAACATAGGTCTACACATCTAGTATCCCACTTAATAGCCCCTATAGTAGTCCCCTATATAATCCCATACATTGCATAACCCCCTTTAAGGAGTTCAGACCCTAAACCCTAAACCCTAATCCCTAAACCCTAACCCTAAACCCTATATAATCCCATATAATCCCCTCTAAGGAGTTTCTACTATACCTCATGGAAGAACATGTCTGAGAAGACCTCCATGAGGACTACAAGGGACCTTTGGTGACTTGCCATGCTTTAGGGTCTAGGGTCTAGGGTTTAGGGTTTGAGGGTTTAGGTGGCTTAGGGTTTAGGGCGGTTCGCCCAGGAAAGCTAGAAGATTGCTCTCAGAAAGTTTACGGTATAGGCGGTTAGGGTTTACCCAAAAAGTTGGATATAGGAGAGTATGGGCTCCCACCTGAACCTGAAACCCTACACCCTAAACCCTAAACCCTTAACTGCATTCCCAAGTAAGAAAGGACTCAACTGAGGCTCAAGCTTTTCGAGGCGCGTGTAGATGTATCGAGCGCTGGCGGCGTCCTTACCTGATGCTGGGTTGCTGTTATAACGCTGTTTAGGGTTTAGGTTTAAAATCTTGGGGTTTAGGGTTTTGGGCTTTGGGTTTCGGGATTTTGGGGTTTGGCATTTTGGGGTTTAGGATTTGTTTGGCAGGGGGCATCCCTACACTAACAACTATAGTATCTGGGGTTAGATTGCAACTGAAACGAACATAGAACGTGGGATGGAAACTGTGGGTGTATAAGGGTTATGTGCATATACATACATATATATATATATATGTATATATACACACACACACGCGGGCTTTGTTACTTGAAGTACGTTGTCATAACAACGACACCAAATGATTCACTACATATCTATATACGACAGTAACGGTAACTTAAAGTCAGCCCATCAACAACAAACGAGGATGTGCCAGGTTTCAATAAGCTTTGGTGTCATCCCTGGGAGTCTCTAAAGTGAGGGGTGTTATGCTAGGGGCTTAAAGGTTTAGACTTAAGGGTTTAGGGTTAAGGGTTTAGAGCTTACTACAGAGGCCTAAACAATTACCAATATCATTTTGAGGTCCACTTGAGGTACCACAGACCATACATACATAAGGAATATGGAACAATCACATTGGTAATCATCTAGGCCCTTTGTGTCGGGCAGGTGGATCCGGGGGCAGGTGGATCCGGATCTACCCAAAGCTCAATGCAGTGCAGAGCAGTTTGCTTGTATCATGTCGGATTTTGGGAAATGCACCCCCAAATCCTAAACCCTAGTTGAGTATGGAGGACTTGCACAAGGGAAGCAGGATGGAGGTATGTCCAACAATCCAAAGATTGAGCTCTGGACTGGGAGTGGGTTTTAGCGATTAGGAACCAGAACACTGGGAACCATAACACACTGACACTAGCAACTCAGAACAACTATCGATATGGGCTTGGGGATCACTTGCGGCGTGCTTTCTTGTAGGATTTGCTGGGAGGGTGGGAGGGAGAAATCCGAGAATCTTTCAGGAACACGCGATGATGCCTCCGATAAGCTTGGTGAACCCCAATTCTTCTGCACGGATGCAGAAGCTAAAAGCTATAGGCTCTCTTTTTGGGTGGTTCTCAGTATGTGAACCTAAACCCTAAATCCTAAACCCTGAACCCTAAGTCTTTCGGTGAACGTCAGGGATACATCAACATTTGGTATCATTTTCGGTGTAAACCACCGCTTGAAATGAGGTTGGGTGAGGTCGTTACAAGTCCATACAGGGTCCAAGTACTTCATGCTCACATGCTTGCCCAGGACCGGTACTAGAATTACAATTACCAGAATCCCCAGTACCTAAGAGTGGGTACTGGACCCTTGGGAATTTGCATAGATTTTGATGTTTCCCTGGGTCTTCAGACCTGGAACACAATCTAGGCACTTGAGAAGCCAACATGTAGAATCCCAAACCCTGAACCCCAGGGTACTCTCATGGGGTTAAGGGAACCCCACAAGTGTAAAGCAAGTCCTTGTGGATTGCTTACCCCAGCTACTACAACTTTAAGAAATGCTAGTTGATCACACTTTCTTTTTACTGATATGGACGATAATTGGCCCTGTGCTTTTCCTTCAGAGAACTGCTACACGATCCCTTCGGATCATATATCCCGAAATCCTAAAGCCCTCAACCCTGAACCCCATAACAGTACTACAACTATACTAGTATTGTTGCGATTATTACGCTTATTTCTATTATTACTATTACCCAAGGGTCCAAGGACCCAAATAATAGGGCTTCAGGGCCCAAATGCTATAATAAATACATGGTATTTGGGCCCTAAAGCCCTATCATTTGGGTCCTTGGACCCTTCGTTCCCTTCGATACACCAGCAATTACTATTATTGTTATCACGATTCTTACTATGATTATTACTATCATAATTCCTCTTCTTACTATTAATATTACTATTATTCCTATTATTATTACTCCCTAAACCCTAAACCCCTACCCTAAACCCTAAACCCTTTATTACTATGAACTTCGGGATGGCGGCCCTCTGGGCGTCTGGCCTCCCTGTATGCGGGTTCCAAATTGCCCAGAAGGGACCAGCAGATTGGCGTTGTTGGCTCCAACCTTCGGTGGGGTCAAAAGGTTGAAAGGTCTAGGATTTAGGGTCTAGAGGGTTTAGGGTTTAGGGCATAGTGTTGTCCAACCTTCTGTGGAGGATTGGAATGATGTGTGGGTGTACGAAAATATCTTCATATCAGCATGCTGCGGGCGGGGTCTAGGGTTTAGGTGGATGGAGGAAATCTTCCCATGTACCCCTAAGGGTCCAAGGACCCAAATAATGGGGCTTCAGGGCCCAAATACTATAATGTTAATGGTATTTTGGCCCTAAAAACCCATGATTTGGGTCCTTGGACCCTGGGAGTCATTGAGGCTATACTATAACAAAAATGCAGAATAATTCTTGCGGAGACTGATGATAAGGCTTATAAGAGGATGCGAGATTTCCTCCATCCTCAATTGCTTGGCTTCACAAGGCCAGAAAGTAGCAATATGATATAGGTTTCCCCAATTTAGGGGTCCCTTTTCAAGGGTCCCCACATGATTATAGTATATTGGGTTCTATATTGGGGTTCCCCCTGCTTCCGGAAATTCTGAGTGATATACATATGATCTACTGTCACGATGGCGTCCTTCACTTCCAGAGCTCGGATGCAACTTTGCTATCAAACCCCTACTGCAGGTTCTACCTAACCTGCATCTTCCAGTTTAGGGTTTAGGGGTTAGGGCATCTTTCATTTGATTCTCCAGACTACCCAGGCTGGGTAAACTCCGCTTACTCTTACTCATAAACCCTGATCCTCAAGCCCTGTCCCTCGTCCCTGCACGCCTCAACCCCTGAACCCCTAAAACCTAATCCCCTAAGCCCAAAACCCAGCCACCCCACACCCTCATCCCTGAACCCTAAACCCTAAGCCCAACACTCAACGGCCCCACACCCTCATCACTAGAGCACGGCATTTTCAACGGTAAGCTGCACTTCGTCCCAGCTTGCCCCATGCACATTGGCCTGGGAGGGTCGGGAGTCTAGCCTAGCCCAAGGTCCCCTGTTAAGGGTTTAGGGGGACCTCAGGGCCTCGTTTACTGGTGCATAAAGGTGAGTGGGGGAGTGAAGATAAGTACCATGCTAGGGGGTTACATAGAGGCTGCATAAGGACAGTGACCAACCCTAAACCCTAAACCCTACACCCTAAACCCTACACCCTAAACCCTGTCATGGGGCTCCACTCCCCCACTCGCTGTCAAGCACCCCATAGGCCTCAGAACTCTCTGGACCCATTGCAGCAGAAAAGCAGGTGCTGCCTTGTGACTCCACCCTAAGGGTCCAAGTACCCAAACAACAAGTTTGAAATCCTCAGCACTAAAATGGCATAATCGGAGCTATCACTGCAAGAACGGATGACAGGATATTACCTGACCAGAATCTTTTTTAAAAATCAAGGTTTGGATACCTGGGCCCTTGCAATTGGAACTTCCGAGCTAAGATATCTTTGCTAAGCCGAATCGGTGCGGCGACATGCTCTTACGAATTGAACTTCTACAGATGGGGGGCCCTCAGGGGATGCAAAGGGATCCTAAAAATATTCTGTAGGGCCCCCGGTAAGGAATAGACAGCGGATCTTGTCAGAGACTGCCAAATCAGGCTCCTTCCTTGATCGATCCTTCCGTGATCAAGCTGAAGCTGCTCGAGTTTCTCCACCTGGCTTCAGGGTTGAGGTTTAAGGCTTAGGGTTTATGGTTTAGGGTGGGGGACCCTATTATGGACACCAATATACTTTGATCCCAAGTTTAGGTACCCCCAGAACGGTAACCCCCCAGTTTTGGGAACCCCTAAAGCCTCTATGCCCCATAAAACCCTATATAACCTCTTATATAACCCTATAAAGGCCTATATAACCCTATATACTCACCTATATGACCCCGTATTCAACTCTATTCATTTTTGTATGAGCTATGGTCTAAACTCCTAATATCCCCCTTAGTAAGCCCTCTAATCGTCCCCTATGTAATCCCCTGAATAGCCGCCCCTTTAAGGAGTCTAGACTACAGCTCATTTCACCTACATCCTACACCCTAAATCCTACACCTTCAACTCTATTAATTAGAACCCAGAAACGCTCGGTGCTGGTCCTGTATCCCTAAACCCTAAACCCTAAGCCCTAAACCCTTAAACCCTAAGCCCGAAACCCTAAACCCCTAAACCCCTAAACCCTAAACCCCGCACCTCTGGCTCACGGCTGAGACGGCGAAGAAGGCAGCCAAGGCGGCGGCAATGGCGGCTAAAGCGAGACCAGCACCCAGCCTTTCTGTGTTCCAATAGAGTTTAAGGTTCGGATTTAAGGTTTAGGATTAAGGCCTTAGGATTTAGGATTTAGGGCTTAGAATTTAGAGTTTATGGTTTAGGATTTAGAGTTAGAGATGGGAGCTTGTTGATTTTCATATAGGTATGAAGGGATTAGTAGGCCATGAGAGACTGGAACAGAAACCGCAAACTACTGCAAGGAAATGGAAACTGGGTCTTGGGATTGTTGTAGGGGGTTAACATAGGGCCTACTATCAGTTATCAGGACACACGTGCCAACTTAGGCACGGAAAAAAGGCTCAGGCATCATTATGGGGCTACTTTCAGGCTTCCCCCCATTGATTACCGATCCCCTCCCCCAAACAATATACCTCCCCACCCCACCGAATTATAATCCGCGGCACTATTTGGGGCTGCTGGGTTTGTTATCCTCATCCCTAGACCCTAGAGCCTAAATTGGGGGGTGATTAATTACTCACCAGCAAGGAGCAGCGCAGAGGGGAAGTGGAAGCCCGTCTCGGTTTGCTTGGATGGCAGGGCTGGCTGGGAGTACTTTTCCAGGACGTCTGCGTAGGGTGCCTGGGAATGTCTGAACATGATCCGTATAATCCTGTTTTGTTTAGCGTTCAAGGTTTAGGCTTCATTGATGGGTTAAAAGGCTATAATCCGGGGACCGCATCTCCTCATGATCCCTATAGGATATGCTCCTCTCCTCCTAAGTAATCTTGAGATCCCCTCCTAGCCTTAAATGTGCCATTGTAATTAATTGGGAAGATTAACGCAATATTAGGGGGTTGGGCGGTTTTGATATTAGAGGGCGGATGGCTTTTAACGGGATAACCTGGGGTCTCTTAGGAACGCTAAGCCCTCAACCCCAAAACCGAAACCCCTAAACCCTAAACCCTCGACCCTGAACCCCAACACCCCAAACCCTAAACCCCATTTGGGGACCGCCCGCCTCCTCTGCAGGTGGCTTCGGGACTGCAAGAGGATTGGAACACACGCCCGCTAAGGGTTGGATAGCCTAGGGTTCAGGGTTTAGGATTTAAGGTTTTAGGTGGTTTTGGGTTTTGGGTTTTCTGTGAAGGAGTTGAAATTAAGGTGCCAAACTGAAAAGTAAAAAATGAAACCAAAAAGGGAAGCTGGGGCTGTATAGAGTTGTACTATCACGGAGGGGTAAGGAAGTGAGGTCAAGTTATGGAGGGCTGACTGTTCACCATATAGCCGTTTTGTTGTGACAACCTCGGGTTCCTTAAGGCCTAGACCCTACGCCCTATACCCTACACCCTAGACCCTAAACCCAGGCCCCTATAGTCCCCCTTAAGTAGATAGAATATGGGGATCTTATTATAATATACCCAAAGCCATATCCTATCTACTTAAGGGGGACTATAAACCAAACCGTACCCCAAGCCCTAAACCCTAGCCCCAGGCGCCTTGGCCTTGGCTGCAATGTCTGTACCCCTTTCCACGGCAGCCTTGAACTGGACGAAGAAGGGTGCCAACATTGCTGACTCTGGCCTGGCAGCACGGTGGATACCAAAAATCCTGCATGCGAATTTTCCAATGGTTTAGGGTTTAGGGGGGCTGTTTAGGGTTTAGGATGTTTGCAGTTTGTGCTTTGTGGCCTTTGGTTGTTCTCCACAAAGGATGTGGTAAGGCTGTCCATCAGGTGCTGGATAGACATGGTCGTTGACCTCCGTGGCCGTGAGTAGGGATTGATCCGGTATAGCGTTGGGAATACAAAAAAAGAAAGTGAAAACTGTTCCAATATTCCCAATTTTCCAGGACCTAAATAATAGGGTTCTAGGGCCCGAATACTATAATATCAATGGTATTAGGTAGGGTACTGAGGCCCTATTACTTGGGTCCTTGGACCCTTCGGGATTAGGGTTAAGGGCTCCGGGGAATGGAAGCGAAACCACTGTATTATTACTGGGGATTACATAGAGGCTGCCCAACCTGCTCCTCAACAGTATGTAGAAATGATGGCCCAAAACCCCTAAACATAGCAACTCTGGGGGCCATGTAGAGAAACCCGAAACCCTAAACCCTTGTCCTAACAACTATAAGTGACGTGGCCAGCTGCTCTCCGATCTTACCATCCGACACCTGAGTCTTTCTCAGAATACTCTTCGGGTTTGGGGTGTGGGGGTTTAAGGGCTACGGGATTGAGGGCTTAGAGTTTAAGGGGTTTAGGCTAGAACCCCCCCAAAAGAACCACCTGAATCCCGTTCTAATCCTTATATATCACCAAGGTGAGAAGATGAAATGTTGAACCACCCTACAGGCTTTATGGTGTATAGGAATCCCTAAGGGTCCAAGGACCCAAAAAATGGTGTTTTTAGGGCCCAAATACCATTCATATTATAGTTATGGTGTATAGGAATCCCTAAGGGTCCAAGGACCCAAATGATGGGGGTTTCAGGGCCCAAATACCATTCATATTATAGTTATGGTGTATAGGAATCCCTAAGGGTCCAAGGACCCAAATGATGGGGGTTTTAGGGCCCGAATACCATTCATATTATAGTATTTGGACCCTAAAACCCTATTATTTAGGCCCTTGGACCCTTAGGGAATTGCAGTGTATGGGAATCGTAATTCATGGTCGTCCGGGCACCCAGGCAGTTTTGAACGACCCTATACTATCAGCACTAAGCCCTATCAACACGAAGCCCCGAAACCTAATCCCTAAATCCCTAAACCCTAAACCCTAATCTTTGGGATCTCCCCACCTTGAAGCCCATAAACCCTAAGCCCACCCCGCCTTTTCGCAGAGATCTCCCATGAGCCCACCCATCCGTATTTGAAGCCGCTGAGCCTGGTTCTGGTCTTGAACGTTGTGGGCCGTCTCCTTGCTGGTGTGTAGTGAGAATTCTATAGGGTTTAGGGCTTAGTAGGGATGTATAGGGATAGACTGGGGGATATAGGGATATGTGGATATGTCAGGATATCTAGGGACCTATAGTAAGCGATGGAAAGAATTGAGACTACCGTTTTACATAGGGATAGGATTTACGGTGTAATGTTTTCTGTGATTCAACGGAGTCAAACACATATTCCCCTTATAAGGCAATGCAACCACCAAGGAGGATGTAATCTTGCTCCATATTGAGCACTATCGTTTCCCCGAATAAAAATACTACTCGGCTGAAATTTAGAAAGCGTTACATATTAAACCTTAAACTCAAAATCCTAAATCTCCAGCAAGTCTCCATGAGATTCGGGAGACTGGGAATCTGAACCGTGATGGTGTCCAGCCTGGGCTGCTGTTAAGTATAATATATACATATATATACATATAGTAGATTAAATGGTTTCCCCGATATAGTAACTTACATTAAGTTTCTTAACCCTAAACCCTATATATCTCTATAAACCCCTATAGAATTACCCCCTATATACCCTTATCATAGCAACTTAGATTAAACTCCTTAACAGACCTAAACTCTAAACCCTAAATCCCTTAACTCTAAACCCTAAACCCCTTAACTCTAAACCCTAAACCCTAAACCCCTAACCCCTAAACCCCAAACCCCTAAAACCCTTAACAGCAACCCAGCAGCTTTGTTACCGCCTCGTCAAGCATTTTCGAAGCAGTGCTTAAGGCTTCATCGGCTGCTTCCAGGACCTGGCTTTAGGGTTTAGGGTTTACGTAGGGTTTAGTTTCCCAAAAAATGAGGCTTCTAGGGTTTAGGAACTGGGGTTTAGGTGTTTAGGGTTTTGGGGCTTAGGGTTTAGGTGTTTAGGATTTAGGGCTTAAGGGGGGTTAGGGTCTAGGGTCTATATGAGAAGGACAGGGTAGTTTCCCAAGATAAATAGGGAGACCCCAATATAAATCCCCAAATACTATAGTCCTTACTATAGGGATCGCCGATATTATTTAGACCACAACATATAGATGCCCAACTACTATAATCGTTAGCATAGGGACCCCCCCCAAAAAGGGACACTAATTTAGGAAAGCCTACGCCGTATATTTCCCTATATAACCCCTATATCCCCTTTTAAAACGACACCTGATTTTAGGAAACACACACCTGGGCATAGTGCGCGGGGGTTGGGACTGTTGCCATGACAGCTGCGCCAAGCTTTGCGTTGAGATTCTGTAGGATGGCTGCGGCGGTGTCATAGTTTGACTGCTTTGCCTAGGATTTAGGGATTAAGATTTAGGGTTTAGGTTCGCCAGCAACCCCCTAGTAATGCGGGTTTAGGGTAGCATAACAGGGGTTGCAGGATTTATATAGGGTTGATATAGGGTATATTGAGCTGTTCTAGGTTCCCAGCATCCCTTAATAGTGAGGGTAGCCTTTTTCCTAGTCTTCAGCTTTGAGAGGGAGACCCCACAAAAAAAAAAGGAAAAAAGTGTACTGCTGCGGCACCTAGCTGCCTGTGCCTGCAGCAAGTACGCCACGCAGACAGCAGCCGCGACGCATGAAAAGCGCATGGCGACTGAAGAGGCTCAGGGAGTAAGATGCCCTGCGTCTTGAACACTAACTTGCGGGAAGGCCAGAGCACATCCAGGCCTACTAATGGCGAGTAGGGAACGAGGCAGGATTCTCGGGACTATTATGAAAAAAATCTATGAACACTACTACCCAAATCCACCCCTCTTGCCCACCAGCAAGCAAAGATGCTGGAGCAGGCTTGCCAGGGAGACTTGAGATTGATCAAGAGGAGGACGGGCCTGCCTTCAACTTCGCTTGTGTAGCGAATTGACACGGGGAACTGTTGGGGAACATCAAGACTTCTACCACATTTGCAAAAGAATTCTTATGACAATAATGTTAAAACTAGCACATATGCAAGAGACCTGCTTCCGAGAGCAACTTGGTACATGCTGGGCTCCAAGCAAAGGTCTGCGCCAAACCAACAATGGCACCTGACAAGTTGCTCAGTCATGCTGAGAAGGAAGACAAATTCAGAACGAAGCGCCTATGGCCAAGCAGGAACACCAACAGCCACCAATTTACGAGTACGAGTCTTAAAAGTAAAAGTAGTATTACTACTAGTACGTAAGAGTAATGATAATAGTAATAATAGTACTAGAAGCAATACTAGCCATAGTAGCAGCATCAGCAGCAGGAGCTGCGGCCGCCTTTACCCCATTGCTATCCTTATTTGCCTCACCAACCGCGCTCTTAAACCCTAAACCCTAAACCCTAAGCCCTAAGCCCTAAACCCTAAACCCTAAACCCTAAGTCACATAAGCACTAGTATGATGAAGTCCGAACTGGACCTCGCTCTTTAATTCACATCTTTTCAGCATTAACCCTAACATTAACCCAATGGGTACCTATGTAACCCCTATATAATCCCTATAAACCCTAGTAGTTTCCATTTTATTTTCCATTATCCCAATATAACCCCCAATATTACCCTACATTAACCTCTATTGTGGCCGTAGCTGCGCTCGAATGCTAATCCCTGATAGTCCAAGGACCCAAATAATAGGGTTTTTAGGGCCCAAATACTATAATATTAATGGTCTTTGAGGCCCAAAACCCGATTATTTGGGTCTTTGGACCCTTAGGGAATGTGCCCTGCGCTTGCCTTGCAGCGACGACTCGCCATGGTGGTACGCCGCATGCTCAGAGACGTAGCCTCTGAAGCCAAACTGAGTTGAGCAAGCAGACAGGCGGTGGAAAGGCAATCAGCGGGCCTGCAAGTTGTGCAACTTTTGTGTCCTTGGTCCAAGACAGTTTTGAGCCGCCCCCGCCACATGCCAGCTCAGACTGAGTCCCTGTCATTCTTCAGGTTGCGCTTGAAAGAAGCCCACATAATCTTACGCTGGACTGGCTTGAAACCGTCCACCACCGAGGGGATCGCGCGAAGAACCTGGGCGCAACATACCGCCAAGCAAAGGCAGCAGGATGGGAAGCAAACGCGAGATGCAGATTATCCCGGACTTTCTCATGATGAGGATGCTCTGCTCTTGCAATCCCCAGTCGTCTACGCTGATGACATGTGACGACCTTCTGAGTGCATGTTCTGCCATTGAGGCTAAGCTGCATCGTACTTCGCGAACTGCACCAACTCCTTGTTCACAAAGTCCAGGTATGAAACCGTGTCCTGCATTTGCAAATAAGGCCACAAGCTGCAGCCTGGCAAGAACAAGGATGCATACCTGGCATACCAGTACCTGGAATGCATACTATTGGCACTACGAAGCAATCAGACTAAATATAGAATAGCTTCCGAAACAGTAGGACCCATGTTTGCGTCCCTAACAACCGCTACCGCAAAAAGGGGGCCACTCCTTGAGACTGGCTCATCCCTTAGGATCCAAGTTAGGAAGTAATTTGCGCCCAAAGGTTCTTTGTAGGAAGCCATTTGGGCACAAATGGTTTACTGTTTCGGTCCTTGGCTCCTATTTACCATGCCTAAAGGCCCCCTTAGGGACCCAAGTAGCTTAGGGAATCAAATGATGGTCAAAATTGGCTGAGGCGCCTTGGAGTGGTCCACAAACTCCTCATCATCCGCATCGTTGATCCACTCCTCCACTGAGATTCAGGGTTTAGGGTTTAGGGTTACTACTCCAGAGCCTCCTATGTAGTTCCTTTTTGGCTAGCAGAGTATAACCCAATTAGCCAAGAATATGACACACCCAAAAGGTATCACAGAGGTGCCCATGTGGGGAGCTTTTAAGAATTCAGCGCCTGCAACGAATTTTAGAACTAGCGGATGCCGTGTATAGGCCTGGGGGTCCAAATACCTAAACCCTCAACCCTAAATTCCAAACCCTAAACACTAAACTCTAAACCCGAAACACTCAACCCTAAACCCTAAACCCTAAACCCTAAACCCTAAATTTTAGAGGCTTCGCCAGTACTATCAGGGTAGGTTTTGTGAGTGACCTATGATTATGACAAATGCCAAGTATGTCCCTTTTGGGAGCTCGGACCTTGCATTTGAGGACTGTGCAGAAAGCTACCTAAACCCCAAACCCTACAAATCCTAAATGGGAGTTTCCCCAAAAAAAGGGGTTACCCTTTTGGGGCTCCATATTATAAGGACTATAGTATTTTGGGGTCTATATTAGGGTCCCCTTATTTTGGGAAACTACCAAATTGAGCTGCAGCCAAAGGGAGGCAGCTCATTCCTCAGTTGCCTGTGTAAGACACTGGATAGGCTGAAGTGCCTTTCAGCTTTTCAACTTCGTTACTCCCATACATAGGGGTTTAGGGTTTAGGGGGGTTTAGGGGTGTAAGGGTTAGGGGTGTAGGGGTTGAGGGTTTAGGGTAACTCTGGGGATCTAAGTATACAAAGATACCTACATTGGGCCCTAAACTCTGTAAATCTTACCTGCATTGGGCCACTTGGATCCCTAGGGTTTAGGGGTTAGGGTGCCTCCCTTCCTGGTAATACATGCTCCTGCCAAGGAATGCAGACGCTATACAGGAGGTCCCCAAACGCTGTAAAGCCTTAACCGAGAATGTTGGGATAATACGGGGGGCTTATATAGGGATAACGGAAAAGATAATGGAAACTACTAGGTTTAGGGTTTAGGGTCCTTTCGGTCATCGGCTCTTTTCTTGTTGAAGGCCATGTCGAAAGCTTCATCATCGTGCTGGCCCTTGTACTCGAAGGACAGGCTGTGTTCCTTGGCTCGTTGAGAGGCTAGTGGTCGTAGCTGCAGCAGAGATACTGGAAGCATAGGAGTCATATTTTCCCTAAATAATCAGAAGAAGCAGCAGCGCAGCAGCAGTGCTGGTAGTGGTAACAGTCAGTGGTGATACTGGCAGTGTGGCGGTAATGCTACTACCACCTCTACAACTGCTCCTCCTCCTGTTGCTGCCATCACCCAACTACCACTTGGACCTACAGCGAAAAAAGGCGAAGAAGGTACTTAAACTTAAACATTATCATCTCCATCCCGAATCTTATGGAATGCCACTCCAAAAGGCAATGGGGCCATAGTGCTCTTGTGAGAGACATGAGAATGACAAGGGACTGCTGTGTGTAGCAATAAGCATCCGGGGGCTCAAGAGCATGTACTGTACTCAGCCATAGTAACACGGAGTTGCAAGACTGTCAGGAAGGCAGCTACTTCGTAGGATCTCTGGGATACGTGCCTTGACCCTAAAGCCTGAACCCGAAACTCTTAAACCCCAAAACCTGAACCCAAAATCCCTAAACCCTTAAACCCCACAACCTGAACCCTAAACCCCTAAACCCTGAACCCCAAACCCTACTTTGGAGGATCTCTGAGATGCGCACATTGATATTGCTGAAGTACTCCTTGGCCTCCGCCATGGTAGAAGTTCCGAGACCTGGGAGCATATAAACATACTTAGTAATAACGGTACTAGTACTTATAATAGTAATAGTAAGAGTAATAGGTTTAGGGTTTAGGGTTTGGGGTTAGGGTTTAGGATACTTATAATAGTAATAGTAACAGTGACAGTACTGGTGGGAATGGTAGTTATGGTAATGGTAATAGTCATAGTAATGGTAAAAGTAACAGCAATAATAGTGATAGTGAGAACCAGGATCATTTCACAGCAGATGCTGATGGAAGAATCCTAAGACCTGCTGGGCATACCAATTTCGGGTGTAGGGTCTGGGGATTAAATCCTAAACCCTAAACCCTAAGTCCTAGGCTTAGGCGTCCAGACCCCTTGGGGCCACTGCTGCTTAGCTTTGCACAGGAGGCTTGCTTTCGGGCAGCTAAACTCTACACCCAAACAAGGTCGCGACCTTTGTAGTATTTCAGATGCCAGCCCTTGCCGTTGTTGTTCTCTTCCTTCCACTTCTCGTACTCCTGTAAAGGCATGCATGTCTCTACCCCGTGCTCACCCTTCAAATGGTAGCTTGTCGGAGGCTCGACGTTGTTTAAGCAAAAGCTGGCGGCCAAACGAGTCGTGCGGAAGATCTTTTCAAGTACAGGTCATTGCAAAGCGATTTTTGTTTAGCACATGCTTGCGGGTCGTTGTGGGGTGTACTGTATAAGACTCTGGAAAGACCCATGGGATAGATAATTAACCCTTCAATAATGAATTACTGGGGGATAGATATAGTGACCCAACTCCAGGGTCCCTCACAAAGGAGGGTCTTGGGGAGTGTTGAAAATGTGCTTGTTAAAGCTTGGAAGCGTGGGCTTCTTAGGGAGGTAATGTTCTAGGAGTGCTGGGTTCATGTGCTTGTAGGGATTTGGGCCTCGTGTGAGGATTTGGGACGCGCTACACCCTCAACCCCAATCCCCAAACCCTAATTCCCTAAACCCTAAACCTTAAACTGGGATTTCGGATGTGCTAGGTGTAGGGATTGGGTGCTTACAGGGTTTGGAGGACGTGGGGGTTTGTAGGGGTAAGATCCGTCCCCCTTATCATGAGAAGTCCCAAGCTCCTGATGCAAATCTTCCCCCAGATATTTGATGGTACTTTGGGGGTACCCATTTTTCAGGATGGAGGATGGAGGGATTCGGAGGGATTGATTGCAGTGGGAGGGGATTACGTGCACATACAGCACCAAGAAGTTGGTTTGAGGGGTTTTAAGCGAGTTCTACACGGACTTGCTGGTGCTTAACTGGGTTGCTGTTAAGGATCTTAAATTAAGTTACTATACCAGAATCCGGAGATGTGGTACGCACAGGGTTTCCTAACTTTGGTAACTTCGTTTGAGTTCCTTAACAGCAACCCAGTTAAGGGGAATCTGGGGGGTGCAGGCCTCTGTTGCGGCTGAAGGTTTAGCAACCCATCAAGATACCTCCAAAAAAGGCAAGTATAATTGTCATGCCTGTGAGTCCTCTAATATAGTTATGACTGAACCATTATAGTTACCCTGCTCCCAAGCAACTCGGCCGGTGTATCGTCAAGCCTGCATGCCTACGTCCTTTCCTGCATTGTGAAGAACTGCTGCATGATGTTCCGACGGGACACCTTCACCTGTCGCCACACCGTGAAACACTAATGCAAGTAATGTGAGGGTTAGGACATAGGGTTTAGGGTTTCGGGTTGACTCCTGGTATCCCTCTTGATAAACCCTGAAGAGGTCCCTATATAATCCCCTAGATGTATACCCTTAAAGAGTTCAGTCCAAGTGCCCAGGGCAAGTGTTCTTTACTTCCGATATGGATACCAGGAAACCCTGAACCATGGTATCATCCCTCAGACAAGTTCCCCGTAATTTCCCAGGGCTTCTCAGGAAGATGTGCGGATGCTGAGCTTTGAATGTCTAAGCAAGCGAGGGAGTACCAGGGAGCAGCTGAGCATCAAGCTGTCACGCGCATGGTTGTCGGAATTAAGGGTCCTCTCCAAGCCCCCCAAATAGGCTGCCGAACGATATAGGTTTTCCAAAGGTGGGCTTATGTAGCAATGCCTGATTCAAGTTAAGGCGTCTTCCAAAGTCCTTTCTGCAAGACATGAAGCCGTGCTCGCGTGGCTGAAGGAGGCGACGCCAAGGAACAACAATCGTGCAAAGGTTTCTACAAGTAGGACTGTTGTTGGCTCGTTACAGAGGCTACCGTGGGGATTCCTGATACAGTACCCTCCTAAGCTGCGCGCAATTGGGGTGACGAACTCCGTCATGAAGCCAGGAAGCTTGAACAGCGAGGGCCACCTTATGACGTTCCCACATGCTCCAAGTGCATTGTACCCAACTCTTGAGGCTTATTAAGGGTGCATGGTATCCATAAAGCCCAAACTCTGGGACCCGGTAGGGTTTATGAAATGCCCACACGAAGTATTGCGAGCGCAGGTCATTTCGTTGGGTCTTCTGGTCAAAGGTGCTGTTGCCCTACTACTAGATTATTATCCTATCTCACAATGTGACTTTATCAACACAACACTGCGTTACTGCATGGCTCCGACATCACGTCACTATCTTATTACGTATGTATTGCTATCGTACTATGTCACTATGTTCTCCTGCTACCATGATACTGTAGTATTTCTGTGGGAGTATATGAGCTATTGAAGTGCTATATCACTTTATTGCTATGTTGTGGCTCAAACTCGGACATGCGAATAAGCTGACTGCATGGGAGACTGCATAGCACATGTGGGGTTTGGGGTTTAGGAGTTTAGGGTTTAGGGGTTTGGGGTTGGATTCCTTTGAAGTATGGTCTAACCTCCGTGTATCCCCCTAGTAGCGCTATAATATTCCATATATACTCAACTATCTAACTCCCTTTAAGGAGTTTAGACTATAGCTCATAAAGAATATCTACGAGTATGCAGAATTATGGGGGGACGTGCAGGTTCTAGGGTTTGGGGCTTTAGGTCTATAAGACCTGGGCCCTAGATGTCATTCCATATACTTAGGTTGCGTAATACTCCTTTTGTTTAAGGGGTTAGGGGTTCTATAGGGTTTAGGGGAACATCTTTAGAGGAAGGTAGCACACCCAGGGTCCAGGTAGGGCGTACAAATTGCGGGATTTAGGGTCTTGGGTTTGGGATTTAGGGCTTGCTGAGGCAAGTTCCAGTGCTGCACAAAGTTCAGGATCAGCCCTTTGATGTGCGACCCGTCGTAGTCCTGATCTGTCATGACCTGCCAAGACGTGGCAGGATGCCCACTCTGCATGATGAGGGTTTACGGTTTCGTGGCTCGTGACCCATGGTTCCGAAAAAAGATTTAGAGCCGAGACGAGAAACCTCGTGGTTCCTGACTGTGTCTTGTGTCCTACATATGGACAAGCAGATACTAAGTAGGTCCATGGCAACGGGCTTCACTTTGATTCTTACACGTTTAAGCTTTCGCGGGAGGCAACCAAAAGGGGTGCGCTTTCGTTTAATAATGATATACTAGGGTATATATTGGGGTTATATAGGGATAATGGAAAGGAACATGGAAACTACTATTTAGGGTTTAGGCATTAGGGTTTCCTTTGGGCTTCATGGGGGTTTCTCGTCTGCCAGGTCTAGGATTTTAGGACGTGCGGGCGGGAAGGGCCCCAGTGGATCGACCAAGGAAAACACCACACATTAGGAGGAATCTCTAAATTATGAATCATATGAACTATAGTTTCAACTCCTAGTACCCCCCTTGATAATCCCTCTAATACTCCCCTATAATATCCCCTAAATAACCCTCTATATAACCCACTTTAAGAAGTCTAAACTACAGCTCATATATGCACAGGCCCCTGTAAAATCCTCGTCCCTGTTGGGGACCTTGAGTATCAGGTGCACAAGGCACCACAATTTGCACAACCTACCAGATACTTTTTCAGGTACGTGGACCCCCAAGGTGAGCCTCAATTCCTATGTCCAATATACTCGCTATATAACCCCAGTTTCCATGTCATTGCCCATTACCCTAGCCCTAAATCATTTGATCTTTCATTTGGCCCGAAAAGGGACTATGTCAGCTCGCTGAGGCAAGGGCCATAATGGAGCCGTAGCGCAGACCATTTGTTGAATGGTACTCCTTCCGTGGCCTGCATGCTGAATTATGGCAGCGCATGGGTATACTTCAAACGGATACTGTACATCGTGCGTGACTCTACATATCCCATACTTCTGAAATTGTGTAAGCTTAGTACCGTGAAGGCGTTCAGCGTTTGTAGTATCAAGACTTTCAAAATCTACCCTGTTGGGGTACAGTATAGGGCGTAACCATAAAATACATTACTTGGATTGGCGTGCGGGGAGTCCACATGAGCCTTGGTGGTTGCTCATGCCCTGCAATCATTCAAGCTTGTTTGTGTTTTTAGGATTTCGGGTTTAGTCAGGGTTTCGGGTTTTATGGAGTTGCCTCAAGGTACCGGTTTTCTTAGAACGTCAGCAGGATCACGCTTGTACGCAGGCCTACGAAGGATTTTACAAGAACTGTTGAAAAAAGTCAAGTATGCCTTCTGCCACCATTCAACCCGCCAACCTTACGGATCCAAGATTTCCCAAATTTGTTTACAGACTTCCAGGCCCTAAATGGGTGTTATTTTTGGGTTGTGTTAAAAAAATATGGCTCCTTCTATGGTACAATGCAAAAGAGACGCCGTTTCATACAGAGCACCCCAGAAAAGTGCCATGAATATCTTAAATGGTCGTTCTTGAACTTCTTGAGGGAAAAAAAGACCGCTCCAGGCCGCGCATTACCAAATAAGCCGGGCTGACTCCAAACCGATGATCTTCGTGATGTTTGCGATTTCCGCGTTACCTGTTCAACGGCAGTTGCAGAAGAGGGGAGTTTCCTTCCTGGGGTTAGTAGGGAGTACGGGAAGATAATCCCTACATAATATATTCCCTTGCTCCCTACTAGCGCCCAGTAAGAAGATGATCCATATATAATACATTCCCTTGTTCCCTGCTCACGCCCAGTAAGATGAGGGGAGAGATTGCGCAAGACGGGGGCAGGTGATAGCCATAGCCGGGGGGTGCGGAAGTACTTGGAAGGTCATGGGGACTGAGTAAGTGGGTGAATAAAAAGGATAGCCGGGGCTTTTTTATGGCTTACAAGGGCAAAAAGTGTACTTACCAAGGCCGCTTGAACCTCTAAGTATGCAAATGGTACATGAGAGTTTGTCAAGATAGTCCCTATCATCCCCAATCAAGACTCATACTCCCCATGTATTTTTTGGGCCCCAAACCCCTTAAACCCTAAACGCTACCCCCCTCTTTTATTATTACCTCCCCTATGGTTCTCATGCAAGGTATCCTCATGGTAACCTGCCTTCAGCCGAGGAACTAACGGCTTGCTTGTCGTTCTAGGGTTTAGGGTTTAGGCAGCGCCTGGTGCATTTTTGAGGGCCCCCCTCATGGGATCCCATGATTTTGAGGGAGATGCTTCATCTGGAAGGCGCACTTGAAGGGTCATTCAGGGTTTGGGGCCCAGGGCTCATTGGTACTTCTAATAAGTGGAGTATAGTTTGCTACTTATACATAACTCCGCTTACAACAACCCATGAGCCGTCAAGAAGCTAGCTGCTAGGATGAGTGACGTCATCCGGTCATATGCAGGTCTGCACTATCAAGGGCAAGGGCTCTAAAAACATAATCCAAAGCTGCGCTCAATGGCGCTCAAAAGCCTGATAAGGAGACTTAGATAGGGTTCCGTGATGGCGCGAAACAGAAGGTCGCAAAACTCCTGCAAAACTTGTAAGACTAAGAGATTTGTCAAAAGCGATATGCCGGCAGTTTGAATGCAGCTTAGACGCTCATGGTCTGCGCAAAAGTCGCATCACGCACCTGCATGGAACTGGAAAGGAGGTGTTCCTCACATGAACCGTGGCACAAGCATCTGTCAAAACCGGTGCGCAGCTGCTATAACACGTGCGCTCAGGTATGCATCATGCTATAAGCTGTCGGGAAAACATAGACTAACATTCCTCATGTTTTAGGCCCTAGAACCTGGAGATGCCCATCGAGCCAATGGTATGGTTTCTCACAGTTCTGCGTCTCCGTCTCCGCGGTCCCTATGGGCTCCTACCAGATAAGAGCCCTTCTGTCTGAAATCCTTTACTGGGGCTGCAGCGTTCAGAATCTTTCCTCGAAGTGGGAAGACACCATACCGGTCTCTTCCAATTACCTTGGTGCGGCGCAGCAACTTTCAAGAGGATCACTTGAGATCGGGTAGCAGGCCAGATTGCAATGCAGAGCCTTGTTTCAGCATTCACTCTAAGCCCTAAACCCTAAATTGAAGACTACTCAGTAAGCTGGAGTGACTTTGGAGGGTGCTTTTAAGCTAGGAAGCTCGGAGCGTTGCAACCCCGAGTTTGTGATTTGTGTCCACCGTTGGAACTACTTTGTACCCATTTGGGTAATATTGCGGTTACATAGGGGATATCAGGTTTCAGGGTTTCGGGTTTAGGGTTTACAGTTTAGGGTTGAGGGATAATGGAAAATAAAATGGAAACTACCATCTATACTGGGCTCTGCATGACTCTCAGCGCCCCTTGCATCGAAACACCTAGAAGCTTGTCTCCAAACCGAAGGCTTTCAACAGCTCAGCCTTGTGAAGCCAAGTACCCTGAAGGCCACAAAAATCAAGAAACCTGCAGCCCTGAATCCTGGGAAATCCTTGGGCTTCAAGAATCTGATTTGCAAAAAAAACAACCTAGGCAAAAAATCTCGGGCCGATTGAGCCCTGAACGCCCAGGCCAGCAACTGCCAAAGACTTGGCACTGTCTCCCTGCAACGGCAAGCCACTATGGATTGGGGTAATATTAGGGGTAATATTAGGGGATATAGTGGGATTATGGAAAAAGACAATGGAAACTACTATATCTTATAGAGTTATATAGGGGTAATGTAGGGCTTATATTATCCCGAGACAAGGGATGATGTTGGGGAACTGGGTTGCTGTGAAATAGGGTTTAGGGTTTGGTGTTTTGGTTTGTTGTACGGCCTGTGAAATGCTTTGAAAGTGGTATATGTAGCATAAACGAAGGATTCCCAGGGGTCATATCGAGATTTGATAGGACAACATCACTTGCGCGCGGAGTTGGCACATGAAATTCCATTATACCCCTATACATCCCTAAAAAAACTGTACATATACATGTACATATATATATATAGATATATGCATACGTACATCGATTCACTTATTTGCATCCCTATACAACCCCTACATACCAGTACATACCCCTAATGACCCTAATGTATCATTTTGGCCAATTGCGTATAGCCTGTGCACATTTCCTAGTTGGGCTGCGCCTCCCAGCCCTGCTACCCTAAACCTAGTGCTTAAGGGATTCAAGGGCGCTGCAAGATCCGGTTTGGGTGATAGGTGGTGTCCAGCTTTGAATTCGTGAGGTAGAGGGGAAAGTTGGTGAGTAGATGGGGCAGGTTTGGATGAAGGGGCTGAGGGTTTGGGGTATGAGCATTCCTTCACTGTATGGAGGTTGTCTTCAACTCCCAGTTTCTGATCCCGAGCATCTTGCACTTTGGAGTACTACTCCTCATGGCACTCACACTGCTGCACGCCCAAGCAAGCCTGTACACGTGAGGATCCCCAATCATTGGTTTTTGTCCGGAAACTTCTGCTGGGCTCTGAAGCTAGATATTCGGATCTTGGTAGTCTTTTTAGGGTCCCTTAACCCTGAACCCTATTTTTTGACCCGATATTGAGAGCTGCAGCTGTGCCTCTGTGAGGATGAGAGTGCACTCTCGACCTTCAACATGCCGTGAGTCCTAAACTTCCTAACCCCTACAGCCATAGACCTAGGGGCGTTGGTGGCTTAGAACTGGGGGAAAACAAAGCAAACAAGGAGTCTGAAGAAAGGTATGGAGAGGATGTCAAAGGCGCGACAACAAGGCAGGCAAGGAACTCTGAAGCTCATTGAATGATGCGTCCAAAACCTGGGGGGCTTTGTAAGCCTCTATACACGATGGTGACTCCATAGAGGCATGAGATCACTAACGTTACAAAACACATCATGGTGCTTCTTTTTTTCCCGAAGCTGTAGCAACTGAATGCTCCCTTTTGTAGCATCTACCCAGAGCCTGCTATGTAGTTCCTTCTTGGGTAGTATAGTATAATCCTTTACCAAAAAACCATAACAGACCCAAAAGGAACTACATTGGAGCCCTTGGGTAGGTGTTTCTCGAAATCATGCATGCCCTTTTGGCGGACCTCATAATACCCTACCCCTTGTTTAGGATACTTAACTTTGTGTCTAGCATGTTCTGTATTCAAAACTAGGTACCCTAATAAAGGGATAGGGTATAGAGACCGAGGTAGTCTACCCAATTCATGATACGAGTAATTACAAAATGCCTTAGTGCATGCCCCGGGCTCCAAGTCTACAAATTACTTCAGGTCCTTAGATTCCATAAATCATCAAAAATTTGGACCCTAAAGTGTTTAACTAATCCATACTTTGGGCCTCCAGGCCTAGACATAACCCAGATGATGGGCGTTAAAGTCCGTATTAGTACTCAATACTTTGGTCCCTGTCTAGAAATATTGCCTACCTTGGTCTCTTCGGAGCACTTGGGCAGGGAGTGGGGAGGAATTCAATGGGTACGGGCTTGCTGGCTAGGGCCCTCCGTTGAGATAACCCACCCCTCAAACTTCAAAAGGCTTATCGGAAGCTAACCCACAGGTATAAGATAACGCAAAAATCTCAAGACCCTTCAGGTTGAAATTAGAGCTAAGTATGTTTTTTAAAAAAAACAAGGAACCACAGCGGTATTTGCCACGGGCACACATGAGTCCCTAACTTTCTGCATGGATACCTGGCGCACAGCTACAAGCGAGGGTAGTTCTCATCGATAGGGAAACCCCAACATTTTCTAAGAACACTATCATCCCTATTGCGTGGACTCCCAAAAAAGGGGCACCCCTAATTTGGGAAAATCCCCATACACCAGTCTGGTACTTCGGCCCTAAAGATGGCTCAGGAGGGTTTAGGGTTTAGGGTGTTGGGTTTAGGGTTTATTGTATTTTTTCAGGACCCTTTCTCCGAAGCACGAAGTCCCAAAGATGCCCTTGCGGCACGGTCCAAGCCGAGGATTTAGGGTTTAGGATTTAGAGTTTAGGGTTTAGGATTTAGGGGGCTACTAAGGGCTTCCATGATCCAAGGCCTCATTGAGGAATCTTGGGGATTCTCAAGGCTTATTACTAGCTGCTGTATTAGGCGATTTGGGGGCGGTGCATACTCTGGTGGCCTTAAATCCTAAATCCCAAGCCTGAAAAATGTTCTGTTTAATCTTGCATTTGTTGTCCATTTGAGTATCCTCTGTTCCTATTTACTCTGATAGATCCTCTCTAGGTACCACAATACCCTCTATCCGCATATTCCCGAGGTATCTGGAAAAACCTTAACGATAAACCCTAAACTCCTGCACTCATCATCCTAGGCCCTAAATGGGGGTTTCCCAAAATTAGGGTACCCTTTTAGGGGTCCCTATAATAAGGATTATTGTATTTGGGGGTCTATATTGGGTCACCCTATTTTGGGAAACTGCCAAATCCTTAACCCTAAACCCCTGTAGCACTAGGAAAGAACCACTTGACTGAGGCCACTGCCATCACGACTGCCAGCGAGGTTGGCATCCTGCAGCTGGGGAAGTTTGATCAAGGTTCAGGGCTCTAGGACTTTAGGGCTACAAATGGGGGAGTGGATTATAAAAACTGTTCTGCTATAGGGATGGGGTTCTTCATTCCCTGAGCCTGAAGCACAAGGAAGAGAGAGAGAGAGAGAGAGAGAGAGCGGCGAGCGGCAGCGTCTCAATATCCCTAAATCCTAAACGCTCAAAACTACCCCCCCAAACCCTAAACGGCCAAAAGCCCTAGGCCCTTAAACTCCAAATCTTAAACCCTTAGACCCTTAAACCCTAACTCGTAGCGTGGGGCCCTTAGGATGGTACTTCAAGCGATTGGAGAGGCAAGAGGGCGCCACCTTTCTAAACTGGCAAGCTAGGTTCGGGGACATATAAGGGCATATAGGGTTATATATACATATAAGATTCGGGATATAGGGATTATATAGGGTTTTATAGGGATTATAGACGGATACCGAATGCAAGCTTTTTTGGTATCACGGCTTGGGTCTAGCATTCTGCTGTTCATGGTAGGAACTGCTTATATGGTCCATTGTCCATACGAGTATCCTCCTTAATACCCCCTCTCGCAGTCCCCTATATAACTCCTCTTAAGGAGTTTTGGCTTAGGATCTACCTGGTCTGGCTGCAGTTCGAACTCAAGGTCTTGTCCAAAGTGTTCTGGCACAGCAATCCCTAAACCCTAAACCTCAGACATTTACCCTGAACCCTAAACCTTTAACCCTAAACCCCGAACTCTAAACCTCCAACCCTTAAACCTGAATCCTAAACCTCCAACTTCTAACCCTGAACCCTAAATCTATAACCCTAAACCCTAAGCCCTATATAACCCCATTATAGTACTTTCCATTTTCTTTTCCATTATCCCTATATAACCCCAAAACCCTTAACCCTTAACCCTAAACCCTAAGCCCTAGGTCAAGTATCCTCCAACTTGGGAATGTTGAGCAAGCGCTTCGTCTTCTTGTTGGGCGCGCTGGAACCACCTGCTCAGCTACCTACTGGTGTTGGGGGGCAGTGGGGGAGGGAATATAGATACCATTATAGGGGTTTAAGGTTTGGGGTCTAGGGTTTACGGTTGAGGGTTTAGGGTTTAATTGGGGGTATATATGGGGATTGCAGAGGTATTAAAATGGGGATCCATTCCCCCCCCCCACACTCTCCTTTGAGCACCAGTACCACTAGGCCATCACCGAAACCTCTACTCTACATCTGGATTGGAGTGCAGGGTTTGGGTGCACGCTTTCTAGAAGTAGGAGTCTTAGGGACCCCGGGGTCAGTTGGTAATTAGAAGGGGATAAGGGGGCGGGAGGTAGTTAGTTTCTGCCGGATATTCTGCAAGAAACTTACACATATGAATCACAACTAAAGACTCTGCAAAGGCCCAAACCGTCAGAATAGAACGAACCTCAAGGAACTCATCAGAAGCTTGGCTGCTAGGTGGAATAATATAATCGGGGGCTTGAGCAAATATGGGGCCCCGCATACAGACCCCAATACAGAACTCTATACTCCTCATAAATAGCATCCCCAAAAGGATGCCCTAACTTTCGGAAACCCTAGACCATGAGCCCCAAAGCACGTAGGAAGGGAACGAGGGCAGGACTAGGAGTTGAGGGTTGAGGTCCACTATAATTTAAGATCTAGCGTTAAGGCTCTAGGATTCGTTGTTTTACACTTTCTCATCTTTGACATTTAGGATTTGGAATTTGGATGTTTGAGTTCCGGGTTGGGTGTCCTACTTACCTAGACCCTCCTTCTATCCTCTATATACCCACTATATTTCCAAAATAGGGACCATCTACCCATATGTAAAGGGTACGGAGGGTCCTGGTAGACACTTGTGGCCTTTGAGGGTCTTCCCCAGGTCGATCTCCTCTTTGGCCTTCGCCCACTGAAGTACCATGTCAACCTCAACGGTGCGGTGAACAGTTTGGCAAAGCCAAACCACAGGGTTACAGCGGGTCAGATATATAGGGATAGTGGAGAAGAACGTGGAAACTACTATAGTAGTGTATCTAATATGGTGTATATTGGGATTATATAGGAATAATGGAAAAGAACAGGGAAGCTACTATAGATATACAAATATATATGCGCACACTTACACAGGTTATGCAGGGAGATGTGAGGTAAAGTACGGGCCATGCGCTTCGAAGTACCGGGTACGTTCTAGTTACCCTGAACCTCTAAGTAAGCCACCGGAACCGGAAGCCTTGCAAGGCGCAAGGTTCATTTGGGGGTTTCCCAAAATTAGGGGTATCATTTTGGGGGTCCCAATAATAAGGACTATAGTATTTTGGGGTCTATATTGGGGTTCCCTTATTTAGGGAAACTACCATTTGGAGAATTGTCAAAAAATGTGGCCCTGTTTGCGATACCCTAAATAGTCAGTGAATTCTTTAAAGGTACTGCCCAAAACAGGATGACTGCGCAGAATGTGTCGATTCCTCAGGTAAATTCACCTAAATGGGAGGGGGGGCCTGATTCCAGAAACTCTCATAGCGCTCTTGCGAGAGTTTCTCCCAACAGTGCTGGGCGTTCTTCGGAACTCCAAAAGGCAGGACTTGAATCATTTGGCAGCTTTATAAACACCACTCCAAATGAATGACTGACTTTTGCACTGTTTTCTGTGTAGCCTACCATTTAAGTTGACGTCGAGAGAGATCGGAAAGTGGTTGAAACTTGAAACCATTGCTTGGTATGTTTGATTCTTGCATAACACAATACCCTTTCGGTCAGGTGGACTTTAGGTTTCTCAAACAAGGACGACTCTCTAAGAACTGGGCCCCGAGGAAGCTCCTAAACCCTAAACTACCTTTACAAGTTCCCAGGGGTCTCCTATATCTGCAAACCGGCTCAAGCCAAAAACGGCTGACAAACCCTGATGAGCTAGTAAGCCGTACCCCAACCCATCCTCCCTCTAGAGGACTTACATATGAGCCATAGTCTAAACTCCTTAAAGGGGGTTATACAGGGGGTTATATAGGGGCTACTATAGGGGTTATTAAGGGGGATACTAGGAGTTTAGACTATAGCTTATGTGAGGGGTTCGCAACGTGTTTTAAGGAGGGCCCCAAACAGCTTCATGACTACCCGATACAGTTGATCGTCAACATTACGGCCACTTTTTGGGTCCCCTGTCGGGGCTGCAACAATACTGGAGACCAACGAAAGAAATACTCTTGACAATCCACGATATGCTGTCAAGGGGCTATGCCAGTCTTTAAGACGCTGTTGATCATCTTGTCAGGAATCGTGCAATTGGACCTGCGCCAGTGAGTTAGCACGGTGGCCTCAAGGAATTCTTGCTTTGTTTGAAGGAAGGGGAGGTCTCTGACTACAGAAGTGCTTAGGATTTGGAGCTTTTGGTGTAGAGTGCCTCTGATATCAATATTGATCTTGAAAAAGGAATTAAATAAACTACACTTCCTCTGTGATTCTGAGACTCTCTTGGTGGGTGTTGGGAACAGGAATCTTGAGGGACATTTGACGCAAGGTTGGCTATAACTCCTTAAGAATCCTCTGTTTGAAGCTAGTCACGTGTTTGCAGTCTTCACATTCTACTCATATCGTACGCGCATGAGCAAACACATACAGTCTATGGGATAGACGCCATCCCTGTTGTGGCTTCTGCTGCTGCCAGCGCTTCTGCTTCTGCCTCGCTGCTGCTGCTGTTCCTGTTGCTGTTGATGATGCAGCTGCTGCAGCTGCAACTACTGCTACTCCTCCCGCCTGCTACTCCCGCTATTGCTGCAAATACTACTGGCACCATGGCCAATCCGTACCGACCGCCCTTACTGTTGCTGGAGCACAATGACAAGTATTGGCAAACCATTACTTCTTTGTTACTTCTTTGGAAATGCATGCTCTTTATGGATACGCTTATTACGATCACTCACCGCTTACCATAGCGGGGCGGACCCGAATTTCGACTGCTTCAGCGTCATTGTCTCTTTGGTTTGCGAGTCGAAGGAGGGGTTCTCGATCTGCGCATTCACGAAGACCCAAAGGTAGTTGCGCACATGGTACCTACCCAATCAAAAGGCAGGCCAAGGGCCAAGGGGCGATATGTCAGAAGGGTTGAGGGCCCGAATCTTTAGGATCTTCATGGGCGAAACCATAAAGACACACACGCTTGTGAAAAACTCAGCTGGCCCTATACACCCAGCGTCTCAGGAGAGGCTTGCTTGTCCTCAGTTTGTTTTTGTTCTGCGTCAAGGGAGGGTGGCTTACCATTACAACTACTATTACAATTACAAGATTACTAAAACAACCGCAAATACTAGTAATATTGATGCTGCTATTATACTATGTGGTTACTACTCCTGCTACCATGTCCGATACTACAGCTATCACGACTACAATCATCGTGTGGGACTAGGGGGGATTGTGGTTGGAGAGGGCTTAAGACTCAAAACTTATAAGGGTAACCTTGCCTCATCCGTGCAGAGTTTCACTGGGTATGTATATTACGACACAGTATTCTTAATAATGATAACAATACTAATAAACATAAGATGAGCACGATTACGATCAGGGACTGTAGGATATGAACAGGTTCTAACTTGGGTCTTTCCCTACCCTAAGATCTGCGCGAACTCCATCGCCCTCCTTTTTCTGAACATCCTCGACCCTTCACATGTCTTCCTAATCCTCCTGAAAACTCTTGGCCTGTAGGTGCTTCCGAATACAGAAGCCTATGCTAACAGATATAGTCCCCCCCATTAAGTAGATAGAACATGGGGTATATGGGGCTATTATTATTATATACCCAAAGCCATATTCTATCTACTTTAGGTGGGACTATAATTCTGCAACCAAAAAACTGAAGTACAGGCACAGAACCTGCAGAGTTCCCGCCATGTACTGCCAAACGCCAGAAACATGCACAAGAGGGACACTAAAGCGGAAGACCGCCAACTCTGCTTCTCTAATCCAAGCTCAAAATCTCAATCCCGGCATGCAGCTGAAGGCGCACGGTTTCACTTCCTGGGCGGCACGCCAACTGAATGCCAAGTAGGTGATACTGTTGATGGAGATTTAAGGCCCAAACTCCAAGGCATTACAACAGCTTGGGTACTGCCTTAAATCCCCCGAAATCCCATATAACCCCCTATATTACCCCAATATACCCTAAGAATCATCCCAATATACCCTTCTATACCCCCAATATATACGCTTCGGTACCATAAAGGATTTTCTCGGTCCACCATCTAAACCAACAAAAAACTCATGGGCTGAAAGAGGTGGGGACCGAGGATGATTGTAGTGCAGGCGCCAAGCACAATTAAAAGAGAGCTTGAATGCATGTTATGAGAGAGAGATGTATAATATATATATATATATATGTAGATAGATATATGTAGGGATTAATATGTTGTAAGGTACAGAACACTATGTTGATATAGGACGATGAAGTAGTACTATTGGTAAGTACTTGGGCTTCTACAGTAGCCATCATCTGCACTGATCGCTTTTGAGCCGCTCCTCTTGTAAACTCCCCTCTCAATCTATGGTATTACCATCTGGAAGCATAGCGCGATTTTTTCGAAGCACAAGGTGCAGCCTATGGATGGGGTTCTTGAAAGAATGACCTCCGAAGGAAGATGGCACCACTCCAAATTTGTCGAAACAAACAACTGCAGCACTAAAGAACAACAGAGATGGCAGTGCCATTGCCGAGATCACTGCTGTAAAACGAACAATAAGCGTAGCAACAATCGAAACCGCAACATCAGCTGCAACGATAGCAGTAGCGGAAACATGTGCTGCAACTAATGCACACCTACGACATGAATATTTTCAAAACTTAGGGGTACCGTTTGCGGGTTCCCAATAATAATGATTTATGTGCGTTGGGGTCTATATCCGGGCCCACCTGAAACCTGAATCCTAAACTACCACATGGGTTATTGTCAAAATTGTAAGCCCTTTTGTTATACATTATACTAAGGCACCTACTATCTGGGCGTACCGTAATGGGACCCTAAGGTCGGGAAACAGCCACATACCCAAGTGTGCCCCTTAATAACCTCTATAACACTCCCCTATAAAATCCCCTATATGGAGTTTAGACCCTAAACCCTGAACCCTCATCCCTAAACCCCTAAACCCTATATAACACACTTTCAAGGAGTTTAGACGATAGCTCGCCCGTACGTACACCTGTGGCTGTGCGCCAGGCCATGCCACCCTTGTTTTGCTTGTTGACCTTCTGGGTGATCGCCTGGGAATCAACGGTGAACTCATACGTCTAGATGTGTATACATACATATATATATACATATGTATGTACATGTAAATACGACAATCCCCCTCTAAAACAAACTAAACCCAAAACTGATGAACTCAAGGCTCAGATTCTCAAGTCGCGTTTCTAGTCTGAAAAGGGGAAGTTGAGCACACATCCTCTTGACCACCCCCGCCTCAAGTGCTTTGGCTGATGACTTAGAGTGGGAAGCTAAGCGCCCTCATGATGGTCAGACAACAGCGCCTCTGATTCGGACAACTTAAAGAAACTTGCACTGCAGAACCTGCACATTCACTGCCCCCCCCCCCCCATCTCACGGCCAAAAAAAGGCAAACACATAGCTTTGAAATCGAATCCGCCAGTTTTTAGCTTCAGGATTGACACTCTGAATCCAGCCCTACGCATAGATCTTGAACCTTGGCTTGTGAAAGCCTGATGATGCGCACCAGTATTGATAAGTCCGGCCCTGGCACTTTCAGAATTTGCTCGCTAGATCCACACAACCGATCCTCTCATCCCACGTCTAATGCAAGAATCACTTTTTACGGCAAAAAAATCTACACCATGCCACAAGAATCACTACATTCACTACACGTAATGCTTGCATGTGGGCGTCTGCATTGTGGGGCAGGTGGACGTTTCTCAAAGAGTTTGTATGATCCTGAGAAGGGACCCCTGTAACAGCAAACCCCGAATCCCAACCCTGAGCCCTAAAAACTGGACCCTAAAGCAACATCCGCCAAACCTAATTAATTCTAAGCAACCATGCTAAACCCTAAGCCCCGCTTAAGTGCTACCCTTGGCCGACCAACAGCCAGGCCTCCACAAGCTGATCTGCAACATGAACGACCTGGGCACTTCCACATATTGAGGCATTGGGGTTTGGGGTCTTAGTAGGTCCCGTTTGGGATTTTTGGCTCAGGGTCCAAGTTTTACAGGATTAAGGGTTTAGGGCACTTGGTTCCATAAAAAGGGGCCCCTTAGTCATGGGACCCCAAAAATAGTTCTCCTAATTTGGGGGACCCCCCCCCCCGCCGCTTTCCACACATTGAGGCGTTGGGGCTTAGGGTTTTGGATCTGAAGTTTGGGATTGGGGTTTAGGGGTTTAGGGTTCATACCTGGAAGTTCTGGGGGACAATAATGCCCCTGACAGTCCAAGTGGCACACCATTAGGGTTTTTGGATTTACAGAACAGGCTGGTGATGGATATTCCCACAAAAAGACTTATGTGCTTTTGAAGCCGCGCCTGCACACCCAACTACCTACAGATTTTTGAGTCGTACCTCCTAACTAGAGGGTGACTAAGCTACTGCTAAACTGTGGGTAATTGCGGTTACAGGTAAACCCCTGAACATTAAGCCCTAAACCCTGAGCCCTAAACCCTAAACCCCAAGCCCTAAACCCTAAACCCTAAGCCCTAAACCCTAAACCCTAAGCCCTAAGCCCTACAGTGGTTTACTCTTAAGCCCTAAACCCACAACTTGGGAGATGAGGGCTCGGGGACTTCGCTCAGTGCCGGATCATGCTTTTAGGGCTTTTGGGGATATGCACTACCAAGAGGAGTGACAGTACTTGTAATGATTGAAATGGTGTTTTGGGGTTTGGGTCTAGGGAAGTGGCCTTAGATACCGTCCCCAGGTGGGAAACGAAGGTGGGAAATGGGTGGAGCGACATGATCTATCGGGAGAGCGGAAGAGAAGACCAAATAGATGAAGCTGCTGGCAAAAACGGAACGCCTGAGTTTCTTCCGTGAAGTCGTGCTGATGGTTTTAGGGTCTAGGGCTCGGACTTTAGCCGTGTATGTGCAGGCTAAACTACACTACTTCCAGATCCTGTTTTTTCGGGACTATTCTCTATCTGTCCCATCATTTGAGGTGAGATATGCCTGGCCGCATTCAGGTCTGGGGTCCACAGCCCACATTTACAGTTTCCTAGGTGTGCACTAGCTTGTGGCCTGCAGAAGGACCGGAAGAATGAGGGCTCACATAAAGGGTTTCGAGGCTCTGTAGCACATTCATTTTAAGCTATTCTGTTGTACATGCCGGCGTTTGACAATGCATCAGAGACCTCAACAACAGGTTGGGGGAAGATCTTATAGGAACCAGCCAGCCCGGCCAATCGCCTTTGGAAGAATATCGACAGCGGTCTTTCTGAGGATGCAACGGCAGGCAAGATCTATTTGTGACTTTTCGGGATCTACAATAGTATCCCCCAAATCACACTTCCCCTAATAATCACCCCCACCCTGCCCTAGTATATGTACAACATAAAATACATCTACTGTTTTCCGGAAAGCCATTATTAGGAGATAGAATTGGCTGAAGTCCAACTTGCAGTAAGTCTCAGGTCTCTTGATTCCGGGGTCCGTACATGGGTTCCTCCCTTCGTGGTTGCGATGTTGTTCACGAAGGACACCTGTGAATGCAAACCATAAACACTAAACTTCCCTAGGCCCAAAGCCCACATCAACTACATGACATCTGCTGGAGCTGCCTTCCACAACCTCCTTGATTATCCTAGCTATCCTCCGGCCGAGAGAGCCGTTCTGAAACAGATCTTTTCCCGCCCATGCATCCCAGAAACTTGCAGCGTTGCTGAACCCTGAATCCTCAACCCTTTGCTGAACCCTGAATCCTCAACCCTAAGAATCGGGTTTAGGGTGTAGGGACGGCCCATAATCGGATGGCTGAAAACTGCCTAGAATAACTGTAAAACTATACCGACTCCATCTGTCCATCCCACATGATCATTTGTCATACTGCACTTGCTCCTATATTTCTAGGTTCACCTCCGAAGCATTCCCACTGAAGCCTTATGCCTACATGGTCGCATTTGAGCCCCAAGCTATCAAGCGCCTGGAATCCTGGAAGGGCAGCCTACAACACTAGAAATCAAACCCGGAACCCTTGTCTAGACCTCCCAAGCGCCCATAACGGCCGCCTGCATCCCCATTGTTTGGGTGTTGAAAGCAACATGCTAGGTATTTTGGGAGTTTTACCCAGGGGCTCCTATGTAATTCTTTTTTGGATTTGGAATGGCTTTTGGTGATAGATAGCACCAGAAAGGAACTACACAGGTGTCCTTGGGTAGGTAACCCTGAACTGCTATAAGCTGCTCACACCTGCTGGAACTGGCCATCTGACACCGTCATCGCGACCTGCCATGCACTGGGGCAGCAGCAGTTAACACCCTAAGGCTCCAAAGAGCCCAAAGCAGGTTTAGGGTTTAGGGTTTACTATTCATAGGCATTAGGGCCCAAAGTGGGGAATAGATCAGTTGTGGACTGCCTATAACACCTGTATCATCCCAATGTAAATCCTACAAAACCTCTGCAGTAACTCCACATAGTCCCTGCACAACCCACAATTCTAGACTTGAAACGCCTGAGAGATCTCTTGTAGCTTCTAAGCTTCCATGCTGTTGTTGAGCACCCTTTTTCGATTATAGTGGTGGTTCCGATCATGGCGTCCCAACGTGTCTGTCGTACTTAAGGGCCACATTACGAAGCTCAGCGCTTCTGATGGAACATGACCGTCTTGGGGTAATCTCGCTCTCCCCGGCGGTTTAGGGTTTAGGCTTCAGGGTTTAGAGTTTGTAGGTCCCCACTCCCCCTCCTTCATTCTGAGTGTCTAGCCGAAAGAATCGCATTTTGGTCCCTGAGGTCCCCTCTTCCTAAGCTTATGCGATCTTGCTGCACAGCTCTCTTCAAATCAGGTGTCGCCCTTCCGGTGATCACTCTACTTGAGCTATAGTCTAAACTCCTCTAAGGGGGTTTACATATGGGATTACATAGGGGAGTAGTATAGGGCTTATTAAGAAGGATAATATATAGGACCCAAAGGGTCCATGTAGGTATATGGGATATACTCGGGCCTTAAAGCAGGTATATGGGAACCCCTTTGGGCCCTAAGTATATACCATATACCTACATGGACCCTTTGGAGAGCTTAAACTATAGCTCACCTGCTTTTTGCGTTGCGTGCTCCTCCTGGGCTTCTAGGTCCCTGGCCGGAGGATAGTTCGAACTACCCTGGACAATCAAACCCAAAGGGTCCATGTAGGTATATGGTATATACTTAGGGCCCAAAGGGGTTCCCATATGCCTACTTTAAGGCCCAAGTATATCCCATAAACCTACATAGACCCTTTGGGTCAAACAGCACCTGCTAAAGATACTGACGCATGAAGTTCAGAAGCGACGAGGGTTCGCGAAAGGTCCTTATCACTGTTTTCCAATTCACGTAATGCATGCATTGCTTAAAGCCAATGAGGGAAATGTACACCTATCCCGAAGGCCAACCCTGATTGTTACTTCAGATATCTACGCAAGTTCTAGAGCCCCACACCCCTCATGCGGATGGCCTCCCAACGTTCGTGGCACTTCTCATGCACCTGCGGTTCAGAAGCTTTGCTCACCACGCAGATCTGTAGTCTTAGCAGCACATCAAATGACACCTCAGCTTTCTGCTTGCGTGTGTTGCCTCTAGCACAGCAATCACTGATAAATGTCACTATGACTTTGACTGAGCATTGCCACATATTAGCCTCTTGTCATTTTGATATGCTCTTTGTCGTGTCGTCCCTAGTATTGCGCCATGTAATTCACCCCACAATCCCCATACCCCATACAAACCCTAAAACCTAAAACCAGTATAGACCCTACAACCTTGCTGTCAGAGCTATTGAAATGAAGCGCAATCAGCTTAGACTCTGGCAATTTGAACATCTTCGGTTCCGGTGTACAGCGCGATGTAGTCCTTGAAGTACTGACACAGGGCTTACGATTTAGGTCTTAGGGGTCTCATGAACATGGGCAAGACTAATGAGTCCGCCCTCGGCACATTACTTTTACAGGGTCTCCAGGTTTGCGCGAATATCGTCTATAGATATCAATATCCTAGAACAGAGGCCTTTGCTACAATTATTGTAAGCCTCCAACCCCATGTAACCTCGATATAATGTAACTCCTATCAAAACTCTGAACGCTAAAGCCTATATCTGTAGTCTCCGTAGACCTATAATAAATAAGTTATCTTTAATACTTCCCTATACTCATACTAGAAGAAAATTAGAAAATCCTAAGGAGACTACAGATATCGCCCCCAAAACGAGAGGATCTTCATCTCTGTCCTTGAAGCTGTTGATCTCCAGCCTGGCAGAGCTGAAGAAGCTTTAGCGATTTGAGGGTTTAGGGTTTAGGGTTCGAGGTTTAGGGTGGTAATTTCCCTGCGCTAGGTAGACATATTGTGAACTCTAGCGTTATCTTTTCCTACCTAGTCCATGAGGACCTGTGTAAGACCTTTGTAGTCCCGTCTGGTAATTTCCATAAATAAAGGGACCTCAGTACGGACCCCGAAATACTACTCTTAACCTGGAAAACCCCCATGTATCCCTTGGCTCCCTCCTGGTACCCTGTTCTGGCAGACCCCTTAGCTCCCGGGCCAATCCTTCAGCACTAAACCCTCAACCCCAAACTTCATTGATAAGGGCATTTTGGTAACCCCCAACCCCCAAAATAAGGACCCTGCCTATAACCATCATATGATAGTCATAGGGTCCTAATTTTGGGGGTTGGGGTTACCGACCTGTTATAAAACGGACTGTTAATATTTCATAGGGGTTATAGCGCAATAGAGTTTTCAAAGCTCCCAATTAGATAGGGTTATTCAGTCCCTGTGACCCACTTCGAGCGGACCAAAGGTCCCCATGTTTTGATAAAGCCGGATCTTGCTTCGAAGCTGTAGCTTCCGCTTTGAGTGGGTATTCAGATGAGAGTACTTTGGGGTTCTCGGCTTTTGTATGGCGCTAGGTATGCCAGGCGCCTAAAAAATGCATCATTGCAGCAATTACTCCCATCAAAATGCAAACAACCCAAAGGGTCTATGTAGGTGTATGGGATATACTTGGGCCTTAAAGTAGGCATATGGGAACCCCTTTGGGCCCTAAGTATATACCATATACCTACATGGACCCTTTGGGCAAGATGGCCTCTTGCCGTTCAAGTACACCTTGCACTTTGGCGGAGTTGTGCCTGCCACGTCGACCTGGGGCTGGCGCGAGCCCAGCTCTGAGACACGCTAGTTTGCAGGAAAGTTTGTCTACCAGGACCCTCCTTGTACCCTTAATTGGGGATATATGGTTCCTAATAGTAGGTACTTAGGGCCTAATAGAGGGTAGGAGGAGGGTCTAGGTAGTGGTTTCCAAAACTTGGGTCTCCATAGACAGGACTACATAGTAGTCTTTTGGGGGTCTATCTTGGGGACCCCCATTTATTGGAACTGCCGTATAACGATTGAAGGTTTAGAGTCTAGAGTTCCCGAAGCGGGGCAAAACCAACATACAGAGAGGAACCCAAATCTGGTGATCCGTAATAATGGAATTGCTAGAAAACGTAGCCATCACTGAGGCAAGGGCAACGCGACGACACATAAGCCCGACAATGTCCTGTTGCAGACTCAGATGCGTGACTATGCGTATGATCACATTCGTGGCTGCGCCAGATGGCTCATTTGATGCAAGTGTGGTCCACACGTCGCGCCATGAAAAAAGGCAAGCTTCTGTGTGAACCAAGGTGGACGATGGCATACTCTTGATCCCCTATACACACAGAATCTGGTTGATTAGGGAACCCCAAACCCTAAACCCCTGTTTAGGGGGGAGGGGGAGGGTTGAGTTCATGAGTTCCGGTCCTTATCCAGCTTCTTCATGCCAAAGCGGGAGAGATCTGGCCAGAAAGTAATCCTTGGATTGCTGGGTTTTAGGGTTCAGGGTTTAGGGTTTGGGGGTTGAGGGTTTGGGGGTTTAGGGTTCAGGGTTTGGGGTTCGGGCTTTGGGTTTTGGGTTTAGGGCTCAGGGTTTGGGGTGGAGGTTCGCGAGGTTGGGTTGCAGATGTGTCATGTAGGAGCGCGCCCGATTAGAATAAGGTTGCAGGGTATGTTGTCCTACAGTTATACGAGGATTCTGGGGAAACGGTGCTGTAACTATTCTGCTTTCTACAGCAGTAAGACTTTTCAGGGTCAAGATGTTGGTGGCCGAGATCCTGCAGAGGTTCACAGAGGCCTCTTGGGTGATTGACATGACTAGGAGGATTTCTCCCTGAACAAACCAGACACCTGCGCCCTGTAGAGATCCTCCTACTCTTCAATGTCCTTCTCAAGTGCTACACAAGTGGCATGCTTCTGAAGTTGGGACTCCACTCGTGGGATGAGCGGGTACGCAGCCATAAACCCTACACAGGCAAGCCAGGACTCCCTGAAAAAAAAGCTGGAGAATACTACGAAAACAGCGACACAAGGAACAGAAACCCTTCGGGCGCAACAACAGAAAGGAACGAGGGTACAGCAGGCGACCTATAGCGTAGGGACTGTAGGACCCTAAGGGTCCAAGTACCTAATAATCATATACTTACCCAAGACCTGTACCATAATTCCTAGTACCCAAAACCCAAGTACCTAATTATTGGGTACATGGACCCTCTGGGGGACTTTATCCCAAACCCTAAACCCTTGAACCCTAAACCCTAAACCCTAAACCCTATAGCTCAAAAGCATGGGCCCAGGCTTGGTGAAGCTCTCACCCACATGTCCCGAGATTGTGGCCTTCTGCTTCTTGCGCATGTTCTCCTCAACAGCAAGTTCCATAGGGAGTATAGGGATTATATAGGGGTTATATAGGGATTATAGGGATTATATAGGGGTTATATGGGATTATGGAAAAGAAAATGGAAACTACTAGCAAGCTCCGGCTTTAAGCTGGGAGCTGTATGCTACTCGGCATTTTTCTGCCTGTCATGCAGCCAGTCTTGCTATGATGCTTTCCGTGGTAAGTCGGCCTTACATCTGCCGAAGCTAGCATGGTAATGAACAGAAACTTCCCGGCGCAGTGTCTAGTCTCCAAGCAGACAACAGCCAAATTGCAAGCCAAGAACCCTTCACCCCCACGTCCAACAGGAATGGGCATATAAGCTTCCAACATCTCGAGAAAATTCCCACACCCTGAGCCCTAGTAAGTAAGCACCAGCTCTGCTCTCATGTCCCGAGGATAGTCAGAGCCAAGAAAAGTTGGAGCGTAACGCACGAAGTGGAGCTGATAGATGCGACGGAAAAAAGGACAACTGCAAGACAACTATCGAACATCAGGGGGCGTCTCGAGCTGTACCCGAGTGACACCTCATCACCCACGCCATACTCCAGCTAATTCCAGTATGCTGCCATTCCCCCGCCATAAATCCCGAGAGGAAGAATTCACCTGGCGTCGTTGCTCCTCTGTAATCTCACCCTAAACAATGTGGGGAAATCAAATTGGTTGTATGTTTGACCCCCAACCGTAAACCCCATTCCTGCATTTGTCACTTTTGCTCCTCCCAGGTCTGTTTGTACTTCTTTCTGCGCTCGGAATCACCACATTCGATCTCAAACCTCATGTACAGGTTGCGCTCAACTTTCCCATGCTCAAGGAAGAGTTTGGACTGGATCTCGATAATCATCCCTACTTGACCCTCTGCGATAGTCCCTCTACACCCTAAACCGGCTGCGCCACTCAATCTTAAGCAGGCTACGCCTGGAATGCCTAGAACCTAACCCTAAGGGTCCGAGTACCAAATGATTAGGTACTTGGGATTAAGTATGTGATTATTGAATACTTAAACCCGTAGGAAAGGTCCTAACCGTGGATCCCTAACATGGGCCCCGACCTGTCTCCTGGCTGCTATCTATGGGCCCTCCCTTGGGGTTGTGGCTGTTTATAGGGGGTATGTAATAGGTGTATGAGGACCCTAGGGTATATGGGCCATAGTAGGGGCCCATAGTTCGAAGCTTAGAGATACTCACCGCGGAACTAATTAAGATCTTTGTCACATGAGGGTTGCTGAGAAGTAGGGCTGCTTTCTTGGAAGTCGCTATAGTAAGGATTCAAACGTTTGGGGCTTTTCTTAGGCGGACACATTCACTTGGATAAGCCACAACATTGACATGAACCCCAAAACAGTTACTGGGACGGAAAATTGCGAAAATCTGTAGCCACAGTCTGGATATTAAGTGGTGCAAGATTTCTTCCATCCACAGTACCTCAGCTGCAGACTTTGTGGAGAAAATGTTGGTCAGCTTGGCCCCATAGCCATTTCGTCCGCCGGTTACCTGTCAGTCAGTCTTTGGGCTTCAGACGTGCGACTATAAGTTTCGGGTTTAGGGTTTAGGGCTTATAGGGCTTATAGGGCTTATAAGGCGTAGGGAGTAGTATCTGAACCAGGGGTATTGTCTCGCCCAGCATAGATTGGGTAAGCTTTCGGTCTCCTTTGGGTTGGCTAAGTTTGGAACTATGGGCTCTTAGTCTGGGCTCCAGAAAGGTGCACTATGTACCCTACGAAACTCTAGAACCCGACGTTAGGGGCCCATACTCAGAAGTCTGCGAACAGGTCCTCAGTTATGTACCAGGGATTTGAAGCATCAAGTATACGGTCTCAAGTCATACTCGAGACATGGCTGCTTTTCGTGATGCTGCAGCACATTCGAATAGGACAACAATAGCATAAGGAACTCTACGCTTGCTGGTTGCTAGTGGGGAATGCCCTATATGTTGGCCGAAAATTGTAGCAAAATCATTGTAGTTCCATTTCATGGTCCACTCCTTCATTCTCTACTGACAAACAGCAACATACTCCAAACTCTATGTATCCCCATAAGCCCCCTGTTTCCACTTCAGTGTGCATGTCCTTTTCCATTCGATTTTGCATTCTGCCCTAAACCCTAAACCTTAGATCAAGCAGCAAGCCTCGGGGGAACCTTATATGGCAACGTGTTGAGCACTCTAGCCGGCCTTGTGGTTCCTGTTCCTTTCTGGGATAATGTTACGTAAGCCTCTATAGATCTCATCTTGTTTGCTGCTATTGAGCTTTAATGAACCCAGCCTTCTTCTCGCTGTCGTCGTAGTTGTCGCTTGTGAGGAGATGTCCGAACACCTGCAGGTCTAACAACACACGGAAGGCTCTCGAAATCGTTCGCCTCTTTTGGAGGGGCTGGTGCATGATTGGGGGACTTTGTTTTGGGCAATACACACTCTTGTACCATGGTTGGTACGTCTGTGAAAGTGTTGAGGGAAGTCCCCTGCAAGCAAGCCACCATCTGCACGATGTTGACCATCAGGATATAACAGTCTGAGATGCATTTCTACCGTTGCGATTAAAAGGCCTTGCATGACCTTAGCGCAGGAAAACGTCATAAATCCCAATGCATGAACTCAGGGTCTTGCAAGATTTCCACCTTGACGCCAAAGGTAGGTATAACAATTGCAAAAGCAGGCTAAAACTCGATTATTGATTATTCCATATAATTACTTGTGGGGTTGGGTAGTGGCCCTTAACCCTAAGCCAGAAACCCTCTCCCCTGAACCCAAACCCTAAACACTAAAACCCCCAAACTCGAAACCCTTATCCCTCAACCCTGAACCCTAAACCCTATTTGTTAGTTTACGCCCTGTTTTAGCAGAAGCTGCATGGTTCTCAGCGCAAAGCCATCTCGGGAACATACATCTTGTGCTCCTTGTGCTCCTGGCTTGCAGGGTTTAGGGTTCAGGAGTGTAGGGGCTTAGGGGTTTAAGGATTTATAAGGTTGAGGGATTTAGGGTAGAGTGTCTAGCGGTTTAAGCGTTTAGGAGGTTAAGGGCTCATGGGGTTTAGGGTTTCAGGTTCTAGGGTCGACCAGAAGGCTCTTGGACTTGGACCCTTCCTTGAACGTCTGGGGTACGAAGGGTCACTATAGATGTGACCTAACCTAGGGGACTAACAATGCTTCTTTAAATCAAGAGGGCTCCGGGTTGCCGGAAGTAGGCTGTATTTATGGACTTTAGTACCCAAGGCAGGTAGGGGTTTAGGGTTCAGGGTTTAGGTTCCAGGGAGATACTTAGAGCCCAAGGGGGACACTGTTTTACCAAACTCTCGCAAGAGAATACATAGCAAGGCGCGTAGGGCGTAGGAGTACGGACTCTCTCTCGATGATTGGATCCAGTCCGGCAGACGAGCTGACTTGAGCTACTTGCATCTTTTTTTGATCCTTGTTCTTGTAGCTATCCGCGCGTATGCGGTCATTCTGAGTGGCGTCAACCTGAATGTGGATTACCTCCCTCCTAAACCCTAAGCCCTAGGCAATGCATTGTTCTCGAAGTTTATGGGAGGCAGTGATAATTTCTGAGCTGGGTCAAGAGCGCTTGGGGTTTAGGATGTAGGTTTTAGGGTTTAGGGGTTGGGGCTCCGGAGAAAAAGTTCTCTTCTTGTGCTTAGGAGAGGGGTTTGATAGCTTGAACCAAAGTAGGACCCTATGACTTTCAGATGATCATGTGACTCTTCGATTATATATGTCGGGGTTGGAGATATTAAAGCCCTCTCAACCCAATGAACTTTAAGCTGTCTTGGTGCAATTCTGATTCTGGACGGCCAAAAGAGTACTGCTCCGCGGAATTGCCTCGACTGGTAGTCCCTGACCGTTATTTTCCACGGTGATGCAGCCGTCTTTGTCGTTGATGCTCACCTGCTACGCATTCAGTTACGGTCTTAGTGGCCTTAGGGAACCCTAATAGTAATTTCCATTTTATTTTCCATTATCCCGATATAACCCCGATATAACCCCTTTATAACCCCAACATAAACGATTGTAACCCATGATTTTCAAGGTTGTGGGTTCGGCCTTTGGGGCTGGTGGCCTGTAAAGGTTTATAGGGAACATTTAGGAACGTAGACATTGAATCACACAGTGGCCGGATGCAGACCTTACAAGGACCTAGTGCTGGCGGACTGACTTACACCCATCCCTGGATGCAGTCCTGAAGCATGGGGCAGAAGATGCGACTGAAACCCTGAAATAACACGCTGCATCAATGCCGCCAGCTGCCTCCATGCAGGGTGAAGGTGTCTTCTAAAACGAGGACTAGATGTGGATAAGCAACAGCCCCGAATACTTGCTCCATGCGGAGAATGCCTGCCGCCTGAAACCGCGCCCGAACTTTATGTACAACGCTAAACCCCAAACCTGTAAACCCAAAATCCCTAAACCTTAAATCCCTGAAGCCAAAACTACTACAGCCTTGATGTAGGTCTGGGAGTTGTCCCTCACATAATTGTCCGCGGCGTTCACCAAGATCTCGTCGAAAATCTTGTAAAGTCCTGGCCTCAAAGCTTGCATGCTCTAAGGACATGGAGCCGGCTTCCGAGAGTAGTTGCCCAATGGTTTTAAGGGTTTAGGGTTTAGAGGGTTTAGGGTCTAGGGTTTAGAGGGTTTAGGGTACCTACTAGAATGGAGAATCAAATGGAAAAATGGAAAATGAAATGGAAACTGGGGTTATATAGGGGTGTATAGGAATTTGGGCTTTCCCAAAATTCGGGGTACCTTATTAGGGGTCTCCATAACAAGTATTATGATATGTTGGGGTCTATGTTGGGGTCCCCTTATTTAGGAAAACTACCAATGTTAGCCTCTTCTTTGTGCCTGTGCTGAAACCATGGTCACGGGGGTTTAAAGACCCCCTTGCTTGAGGCAACGGGGGTCATGAGCTAAGGCACATGCAGGACAATCCCTACATCCCGTACAACTAACGCCCATGCCTTCATCCTACGCTGACCATGCCCATGCAACCGTTGTTTGGGGACCCCAGTCTCGTATCGCAACCTCCGAGGGCTCCGCACATAGTTGAGCTGCTTCTGTTCAACGGAGCCGTCTTTGTCATTGTAGACCTCATGACATGCAAGCTCAACACAGCTAAGGGCTGGCTTCATGAGTGCTTTCACAAGATTTCCTCATGAAGCGTGGTTTGTCCTCCGTAACAAACGTTGCGCTCCAAACTATTTCCCCCTCACGGCCCCACTGTTTTCCTACCGCGGTCCGAGCTGGCAGTTCCGCTATGCTCCTGGTTTTGGTCGGGCGCTAAGAGATGCAACCCTACGGGCCAAACCGTAAACCCCTACACCGACACCTGGGTTGGATGCTAAAAAAAATCGTGCATGACCTGAATTCCAAAGCAGTTTATTTGGGACCAGATGGAACCCTAAACCCTAAACCGTAGGACCCCAAGAGAGAAGAGAACCGAGCCCATTCAGCAGTTAAACGGAGAAAAGGCTTGAAGCCCGGACTTATACAACTAGGAGAGTTCAAGGCTTAGGGTCCTTTTTTGGAGGGCGAATAAGGAGGATTGTGCCATTCTCCTCCTATTTTGAGGCCCAAACCCTATGTAGCAGCTTCCAGAAAATTGGAAACAGAGTCTAGTCTATGCTTATGCACATATATATATATACTCATGATATATATATATATATTTATTTATAGTTTTGAGAATACTCATGATAATATATACATATATATATATATGCAAATATATTTATGTCTGACTGCAACAGCCCCATCTCAGCCTTTTTGCAGTTGGCGGTGTGAATGCTTTGCAAGCGAGTCTTGCACGTGATCTTCGAGGTGGACCTTCTGAAGAAGAGCCCAGAAGAACAGCACTGTTGGCGCTTAGAATAGGTGCACACAAGCGGAGCTGCTACAAAATTGAGAATGCCATTTGGTATAAATGAGGGCTTTGCAACGGACCCCCTGCGTGGCACATGGGCTAATCTGATGCACGTTGATGGCAAGCCTGCCAGCGTGAAACCAAAACTACATGCAGGTGCTTTAGAATCCTGAAGAAGGGCATACTTTCAGGAGGCAATACCTTGCAGATTTCGGGAACTGTTGGCGCTTTTCAGGGTTGGGTTCAGGGTGTGGGGAGGGGTCATTCAAAGGGAGTGCGTGTGTGTACAGGACTGCGTACCTCCCTTAGACGTCCCTCACTCAAGGACTCTATGAGGGTAGTGAGGGCTTAGCCCGCTCTTTTTACGTACGAAAAAGAGGAGCGCTTGGCGCCTGCCTCAAGATCAAAATATCTTCCTCGCCAAAATTGGGAGATTCCAAAAATCGAGGCACGTGCAGGTCTGTCTGTGACTGCCTACAAGGTTCGGTACCACTATGGGCTATTAGACCTTAAGGGTACCTGAATCTAACCCTAATAGGGTCCTAATAGGGAATTGTAGGGTCTAATAGCCCATAGTGGTAAGCCATAACGTGCCACACTTTTTGGAGACTGCCAAATAATTCTGACACTAAGCGGGGAAGTGAGTAGCTCCAGCGTAGCACGGGGTGTTACTTGGAGGTTCACGGGCGATCATAACTTACTCATAACTGTATTCAGAAAACCCTCTTAGAAGTCCCCCATATTCCTAATATGGTTATAACTGAGTTGTAAGTACAGTCATATGTAGGTTATATGAATACCCATGGACCTCCAGGTACTTGCATATTCGTTTGGAGCAACTCCGACCCTAAATGAGCCTGCGGCCAAACAGTTCAAAATACGCTTGGCGATAGGGCTGCCTCTTTGAGGTCAGCGACGTTTCTGAAGGCGCTTGACTTAACTCCAAAGACAGCGGGTTCTGAATAACTTTTTGGTGCACATGCGAAGCTTACTATACAAGTAAGCACCGGGGGTATTGCGGTAATGGACTTCCCCCCCCACCACCGCCACACTCCTTCAAACCCTGACCAGGCCAGCCAAAAAAACCCTAAACCCTAAACCCTAAACCAGGCCAACCAAAAGAGATCAATAGGTTCTAGCCTCCATCTCCTGGGTTGCTGTTAAGGAACTTAAATTAAGGTACTATATTATCCCCCTATAATGGAGAATCAAATGGAAAAGAAAATGGAAAATGAAATGGAAACTGGGGTAATAGAGGGAGTGAAGGAACTTAAATTAAGTTACTATATTAGGGAAACCCTATGATTACTGTCTGTACCCATTATGGTAACTTAATTTAAGTGCCTTAACAGCAACCCAGTATGGTATCATGCATGGCCTACCAAAAAAAATCCAAACATCTTTTCAAAGGTTCGCGCTATGGGCACCTAGTATTGGCCCCTCATCCGGGGTCCTCGCATACCTATCAGATATATGAAAACTCATACAAACTCAATTAAGGGCCGATGGACCCAGCAAATAGGTAGGGGCCCACATTAGGGGCCCATTGTTAGGATCTTAGGTCCAGGTCTCTTCATATGAGACAGTGTCTAAACTCCTAGTATCCCCCTGAATACCCCCAAAAGAAGTCCCCTACATAATCATGTGAGCCATTGTCAACTCCTAGTATCCCCCTTAATCGCCCCATAATCCCTTTCATAACCCCCTTTAAAGAGCTCACATGCGTTTCGGGTCCTTATGGAGCTTTGGGTGGGGAAAGCCGTCGGGGGGCCCTTCGCCGGGCCGACTTGGATCCTTACAAGCCGCTCACGCTCGCATTGCTGGTGCTTAAGGAGGAATAGGAGTGAATCCCTACAACCATCCGCATATAACCTTATATACATATATATGGTATGTATATATCTATATAGGGTTTAGGGTTTAGGATTTAGGGCTTAGGGATATCTATATATGTATACATACATATATATATATATATGTCTCCATATCATACTACGTCCATGTCTATTATACATATACACATCCTTAAAAGTCATTCAGCCTATATTCATTCCCCTACTCCACCTTAAGCACCAGGAAGTCGTCGGGAGAGGCCTGTATCTCCAGCACCTGGGCGGTGGGAAACCCTAAACTCTAAACCCCGAAATCCACCATGGAGCCAAAGATTGCTTACGTACCCGGTACTGGGGTTATATACGGGTAATTACATAAGGCTATAATGGAAAGTGAAAAGGACATGGCTACTACGATGTTAGGGTTTAAGGTTAGGGCTTTGCCTCGAGGGTTTAGGATTTGGGGTTTAGGGTAGAGGGTCTAGGGCTTGGGGTTTAGGATTTGGGGGAGAATGCTTCGGCATGCTTATGGAAAGAAGTCCCCCGAGGGTCCATGCATGGAAAAGACTTGGACAGATGAAATGAACTCGGGGTTTATACCAGGTTTCGAGGAAGTGTAGTGTAACTATGGCTATGCAAGGATATATCTGTATATATATATATGTATTCATATGTACATATCCCTAAGCGTCCATGTACCCCATATTTGGATACTTGGATTTATTGCATTAGTTATTGTAGTAAAGGCGTTAGCTAGGCATGACTATCGGGAACTTGGACCCATAGGGAATGTGAATACCTAACACAGGGGCATATAAAGGAAAGAACCTCGCCTGGTACGCCGACCTGAGGATGCTTCAAATTTTCTCAGGCCTGGGTGGAGGGTCCATCCTTATTCATACTGGCGGTTCTATTTCCCTTCCCAGCATCAAACTACGCCAATTTTGAGATCTGTATAAAGCTTCACTTAAGGTGAAGGCTTTGTGGTTTGCTCAGTTCATAGCTGCCCTGATTGAGGCGGCCATAGCCTGGGCTTGCTGGCCTTGACAACAATAATGACAGAGGTGGTCCTAATTACTGCGAGCAATGTTAATGTATTAGTTGTAGAAACGAGAAGATAGAAGAAGGAGTAGTAGCCGCAGCCGCAGCAGCAGCAGCAGCAGCAGCAGCAGCAGCAGCAAGCAGAATACAGCGGAAGTGACGGTGGTCATAGCATGTGAATTGCTAGTTGATGGTGGCAGTAGTGGTTGTATATGGTGTTGCTGAGGCTATACGAAAGTGACTGCAACGACCCATGACCATGATCCAGATCATCATTATGACGCAGACAACAGCAACGATGACTCCAAGCCTGAAGCGCAAAGAAGAACTGCAGACATGACAATTACGCCAAACCCTAGGGATCCAAGTAGTACAAATAATACCAATAATGGAGAATCAAATGGAAAAGAAAATGGAAAATGAAATGGAAGCTAGGGTTATACAGGGGTTATGTATTGATCCAAGTATACAAATAATACCCACATTGGGCCCTAAAGTTTCTGACTATTACCTACATTGGCCTATTTGGATCCCTAACTAGGGAAACAGAGAGCGGCACGTCAAAGCGTTGGTACTTGCCCAATCAGCGGCGGCTCCGCGTGATGAGTGTGATGAGGGGGTGACAAGTCACCACCTCGCCTGCGGTACGTATAGGATCGTATAGGGTTATGTGAGCTACTGTCTAAACTCCTTAAAGGGGGTTATACAGGGGATTATATAGTGGACTACTATTAGGGGTTAATAAGGGGGATACTAGCGGCTTAGACTATGGGTCATGTAGTGATTCTAGCCAGGCACTATGGACTTCTGATGGAAAATACGGAGGCTTTCATGGGGCTGGCAGCGATTTGAGGTTTGGGCTCCAGGATTTCGTGGTGTCTTGATATCATGACTCTTGAGCATGAGGGAATGAGCTGTGCCCCGTTGAGCATTCTATAAATGGAGGTTTCCAATCTTAGAGGTACCTCTTTGGGGCTCCCTGCTTTAAGGATTATAGTATTTTGGGGTCTATTAGGGTCCTCCTATTTGGGATATTACCAAACATTCCGTACCTTGTATTGTATCACAGCAGAAAGGATGAGTAATGATACTGCGTCCTGTCTGCTCACCGCACCTCAGGCTTCTCATGCAACGACATCAGGGACCCCAATATCAACCCCAAAAGACTATCATCCTTATTATAGGGACCCCCAAACTGGTACCCCTAATTTTGGGAAACCCTCAAAATCTGTGTAGGGTTTAAGGTTGAAATTTTAAGAACGACTCCTTGAAAGGGAATAGAGAGGCACAGAGGCTCTGGGCTGCTGTAAAGGAACTCAAGCTAATTTACCTCAATATGGGTATATAGTAACTC